TGTTGAACTGTTGAGCAAATCACTAAAAGGTAATAAAACTAGAAATGCAGTTCTTCAGTTGTACTGGCACATTTTGAGTACTCATTGTTATATGTGTTTAGGGCTGTGGATCGCATAGCACAGATAAAGGACTTTTCTATCACTGAAAGTTCTGCATAGGGTTAACCACACCCTTCTGCCTTTCCTTTGATGCTTCCATTGTTGCATTATCAGACTGTTTGTTTATTTACAAATTTGTTTTCCTGTTAGGTTATGAAATATCTTCTTCAACTCTGTATAGTGGTTTTGAGCTCAGGGCCTTGAATATAATGGATGTTGAAATGAATTATTGAGTTGAACTGATTCAGTGAATTTAATTTTTAAAAAATTCCCAGTTTGTTTATTTATTTATTTGAAAATCTGAGAGAGAGATCAAGATCTGCCTTTCATCTTTTGGTTTGTTCTTCAAGTAAGTACAGCAGCTAGTGCTGTCTTTTTTTTTTTTTTTTTTTTTTTTTTTTACTTTATTGAAATACTGAGTTAATTTCACATGTGGTTTTTTTTTGTCTCCCCACCATTTCCACTTCTGACCACCACTACTACTGTGTTCTATCGTAACATTCCATACATACTTAAAACCAAGCAAAGGGTGGAGTTCCATCTTCAAAAACTAAACAGGCATTTTGGACAACACATTCTTGGTGATGGAACCAGGACAACATTTATCAAACATGGTAGGGAAAGTTCTCACCCTGCATTATCAAAAGGACAGCCAGACATCAGCTGTTACAGAAATGAATTAAGATGGAAAATTTTAACAAACTGTTTAAACTATTTTTTAAAAGATATTTCCTCCATTGTCAGAGATCTTGAATAGCTTTCTGGTCAGACATCTGGAAGAATTCTTTACATAATTGATGAATTTGGCTTCTGCTTTGGGAAGAGAACCACCTTTTTCTTCCTTTTTTTTTTTTTTTTTTTTAAGATTTACTTTATTTTACTTGAAAGACAGAGTTACAGAGAGAGGTGGAGCCAGAGAGGGAGAGAGGTCTTCCATTCCACTGGTTTACTCCCCAATTGATCACAACAGCCAGAGCTGAGCTGATCCAAAGCCAGGAGCCAGGAGCTTCTTCCAGGTCTCCCATGTAGGGGTAGGGGCCCAAGAACTTGGGCCATCTTCTGCTTTAACCTGCTGCTCCCATTTTTTTTCTATACTTGTTTGCATGTTTGCTTTAATGTCTTCTACAGACTGAGGTCCTTCTGGTGGTTTAGGAGATTTTTCCTATTTTTTAAAGGATTCTTGATCTTTTGATCTTGTTGTTGATGGTTTTGAATCTTTTCAGCTTTGATTTGCTTTCTGTGCACTTTTGCCTGGGATATCTCATATATATTTCTTCACTGGAGGTTTTTCTTCAGTTTCTTCCTCATCAGAATCGTCATCATTGTTGTCATCATTATCATCGTCATCTTCAATAATAGCAAGCTTTACTTTTTTGTTGGTACCTTGCTGCCACCTCCAGGGGCAGATCACTTTCCAGATATTCTCAATAACTTCACATCCTCCTCCTCTTCATCTTCTGACTCTGCATGTCCTCCACAGCTACTAAGTACTGTGCACTAATATGCTCAGGCACTGAACTACTTCAGTCTTAAGACCCCAGGTGGTGTTATTTGAAAGCCCCCAAGGGAAACTCTTGGCTATACAGACGTTTTCAAAGTTGCCAGTGTTGCTTTAATTGGACTGCCTTCATATCGGCCTCTGCTTCAGCAATGTGCCATTCAGCCTTTGTGCCAGTGTCTAGACTAGCCTTTCATAAAGATAACTGCTCAGTTTTATCATTGTCCACATTGAAGTGATAATTTTCATTGGCCTTTAGCTTAAAACCCAAAAGATATTTCTGGGGCCTAAGGGTCTCATGTCCATGTCCATCGAATCTTCCAAGGGGCAGTGGGATGAACTTAGGTGGGAGAGAAGGCAGACAGAGATTAGATGCCCACTGCTGCAAAGAACAGCCACACGGGACAGAATCACCCCAGGGTGCCATGTGGCATCTTAAATGTTGCACTGAACACCTGCCCTCCCACCCCACAGCATCTTCTTGTTGACTAGAACTAAACTCCTATTTCTCCTGCTTGTTCTTCCTACTAAATGTGGCTCATTCTGAGACATTTTACTACGTTTATATTCCCAGGTTCAGCTTCCAGGACTATTTCTATCTTGGATTGGTTTTATTTATTTATTAAAGTTTATCCTTTTATTTTATTTTTTTATTTTATTTTATTTTTTGACAGGCAGAGTGGACAGTGAGAGAGAGAGACAGAGAGAAAGGTCTTCCTTTGCTGTTGGTTCACCCTCCAATGGCCGCCGCACTGCGGCCAGCGCACCGCGCTGATCTGATGGCAGGAGCCAGGTGCTTCTCCTGGTCTCCCATGGGGTGCAGGACCCAAGGACTTGGGCCGTCCTCCACTGCACTCCCTGGCCACAGCAGAGAGCTGGCCTGGAAGAGGGGCAACCGGGACAGAATCCAGTGCCCCGACCGGGACTAGAACCCGGTGTGCCGGCGCTGCAAGGTGGAGGATTAGCCTATTGAGCCGTGGCACCAGCCCTTATCCATTTATTTTAAAGTCAGAGTTACAGAGAGAAGGAGAGAGAGAGAGAGTAAAAAGATATCTTCCATCCTCTGGTTCACTCTTCAGAGACCACAACAGCTAGGGGCAAAAGATGGGACCCAGGAACTTCTTCCAGGTCTCCCACATGGGTAGCAGGGGCAAAAGCACTTGGACCATCTTCTTCTGCTTTCCTAAACATATTAGCAGGGAGCTGGATAGGAAGTGGAGCAGCTGGGACGTGAACTGGCACTCGTATGGGATGCTGTCATCACAGTTGGCAGTTTTACCTACTATGCAACCGCACTGCCACCCCAGGATTGGTTTTGTATAGCACATTCTGTTCATAGATATCTAACAAAATAATTGATCTGTTATGCACTTTCAGTATTTATGGAGTATAATAATAGACTTGATGTGATATTGAAAGTAGTATTAAATAATCCTAATCTACAGTTTGATTGTCAGAGGTTGTTAGAAGATAAATATAGTTCTAAAATACTTATTTATTTAAAGATGAGAGGCAGAGTTACAGACAGAAAAGAGAGAAAGAGAGAGGTCTTGCATTGTTGTTTTTTTTTTTAAAGATTGATTTATTTGAGAGGCAGAGTTACAGCCAGAGAGAGGGAGAGACAGAGAGTGATGCCTTCCATCTACTGGTTAACTCCCCAAATGGCCACAATGGCTGGAACTGGGCCCATCCAAAGCCAGGAGCCTAGAATTCCATTGGATCTCCTACAAGGATGCAGGAACCCAAGCACTTGGGCCATCCTTCACTGCTTTCCCAGGCCACCAGCAGAGAGCTGGATTGGAAGTGGAGCAGCTGGGACTCAAATCAGCACCCATATGGGATGCCGGCATCACAGGCGGAGGCTTAGCCCACAATGCCATAACGTTGGCTCCAAGTTAGAAGACATTTGGGGGCTGGTGCTGTGACATAGCGGGTAAAAGCTGCCGCGTGCTGAGGATCAGCGAGGAGCGAAACTCAGAGATAGATGATGGTTTAATCAGTTATATTGCCTTTAATGTGTACTTACTAGAGTGATCACTGACTAATTTCAAGGAAGAGAGCTGATTTACTGGATGGTTAACAGAAGGGTTTTAGGACAGTTAGACAATAACTGTAGGCGAAGGGGGAATACATGTAGCAAAGATGAAAGAGGTGCTTCTGCAAATGCGGTGGAGGGACCAAGAGGCCAGAGTCTGGGATAGCACGGGGCACTTGCAGAGAACCTTCACCTCCAGGCCCAAGGGCACGGCAGGACGTCAGTCAGTTTCTGGGCTTAGGGAACAACATTTTTCAGTGGGAGAAAGATTAGCCTTTACTTCACCTTGATTCATTGAGAAGTACCAGGTCTCAGGACTCCAGTGTTTAAGGCAAGGGGCTGCAGCCTGGTGTTCTCCAGTGTGGTTGTGAGAAATTGGAGAACTGATCTGCCTGACCCAAGGCTGCTGGCCCTCCACACTGGCTTCTGGAAGTCTGTCTGAGAAATTCTCTCTCTCTTTCCTGGTCCTCTTCTGTGACTGTTCTTCCTACCCAGGAACATTATTGAAAAGAGGTCACAATTACAAGGATTTGATCTAAACAAATGTTCTTTTTCCAGAGTTGGCTTTTGCAGGCTTTTGTTGTGGAACAAGATTATGAGAATTCTGGGAGACTGAAATAAATAAATGTAGGTGCAGTCTGCCTGAGAAGTAAAGTGCCAGAGTATTTCACTTGTGCTTTCACTCTGCCGTGATTATAGCTAACAGGAGAGCACTCTGCAGCCATTCACAGCAGTCACACACTGTCTGCCTCCCTTTAAGGCAGTAAGCAGGTAGATCAGGTTTTTACTTATTTATTTGACAGGTAGAGTTATAGGCAGAGAGACAGAGAGAAAGGTTTTCCTTCTGTTGGTTCACCCCCAAAACGACTGGAGCTGCGCTGATCCAAAGCCAGGAGCTGGGAGCTTCTTCCAGGTCTCCCATGTGGGTGAAGGGGCCCGAGCACTTGGGCCATCCTCCACTGCCCTCCCGGGCCACAGCAGAGAGCTGGCCTGGAAGAGGAGCAATCGGGACTAGAACCCGGCGCCTATATGGGATACCGGCGCCGCAGGCAGAGGATTAACCAAGTGAACCACAGCGCCGGCCCCAGGGTAGATCAGTTGTATGACTTGCACATTAGTCTTGTCTGGGTAGGAATGCAAATAGTTCAGCTTGCATACATTTTTTTTTTCTGAACAGAAGTCTCTGAACTCTTTATTCTAATATATAATTTCTGTTTGATTAAATAATTATCTTAGACAGTTTTGCTTAGAAATTTCCTGGGAGTCATCTACAAAGTGAGACAAGGAAAATGTCATTTCTTAGTACCTGGAAATCTAAATTGGTGCCTTGGAAACTGCTTATAAGAAAATCTCTTGTCTTTTTCTTAGGGCTGCTGCTCAAAGCAAATTAAGTCACTACACAGATGCAATAAAGGACTGTGAAAAAGCAATAGCAATTGATTCAAAGTACAGCAAGGCCTACGGGAGAATGGGGTAAGTTCTGGGAGAATGTTGAAAGTAGTACCAAGCAGCTGTTTAGTTTAAATACTTTTAAAGTATGCAATTTTTTATTGAAAATTTGTATGTTTAGTAAATTATAGTAACTCCACTACCCTGAACACCATTTTTGTTTTTATTGGTCCTACAATCCTTTTTTTTTTTTTTAAGATTTTTTTAAAAATTTATTTATTCGATAGGTAGAGCTACAGACAGTGAGAGGGAGAGACAGAGAGGTCCTCCATCCACTGGTTCACTCCCCAGACAGCTGCAACGGCCAGAGCTGCACCAGTCCTCTTGGTCTCCCATGCAGGTGCAGGGGCAAAAGGACCCAGGCCATCTTCCACCGCTTTCCCAGGCCACAGCAGAGAGCTGGATAGGAAGTGGAGCAGCCAGGTCTCGAACCAATGCCCATATGGGATGCCAACACTTCAGGCCAGGGCATTAACCCACTGCACTACAGCACCACCACCCCCGCCCCCTTACACACATTAAATAGACTCATAGGGTTATGTACCATTATGAGCAGTTCAATATAATTATCAATCTCCACACACTAAAAGCTGCCTCTAATTTTAAGTCCAGAAGAAAAACTCAAAAACTTAGTACAATATTTACAAATACAGTGTCCAAAAATCAAACTATTTGAACAGTTTTGTTAAATGCTTTCTCTCAGGCATATTAGAGGCTACAAAGAGAAGAATAGCTGACAGTTTTTAGGTCACAGAAAGGGGAACTTGAGACAAAAAACACTAAAGAACTCTGATTTCCAAAACCTTTCAGTGAGCCTGAAGTAAGGCATAAACAACAAGATACACTTCACACAAGTTTCAAGTTCTCATTCATTGATGTTAATAATAAATGAAGGTACCATGTTGCATACATTGCTATCTTTGGTATTCTGCAATGTTTTCATTTATGGGAAGACTTGCAAGGAGTTATGTTACACCAAAGCTAAGTAGCAAGTAAAACAGATTACCATGGAATAATAAAGCCCTAATAATTTAATTAAAAAAAATTGAATGGCAAAGAGAGACAGAGACAAGGGTAGAGCGACAGAAAGTGTTCCTTCCCACTTGTTCAATCCCCAGATGCCTGGGCTGCGCCATGGCTGAAGCTGGGAACTGGGAACCCAGTCTAGGTCTCCCATATGTGTGGCAGCAACCCAGTTAGTTGAACCATCACCACTGTCTCCCAGTGCTGATACACTGTATACACAGGAAATTGGAATCAGGAGCCAGAGCTAGGAATCAAACCCAAGTATTCTGTTGTGGGACATGGGTATAGTGTAGGGATGGGGACCCTCAAGTTATGTTCTTAGGATCAAAGCCCTGGCCGGGCTGAGGGCAACCCCCTGGCCAAATGTAACCAGGCTCTTATCTTCCCACTTGTAAGTATACAACCAGGAAGCATAGATAGAGGTGAGTAGAAAAGCTGGATTTATTGAAAGCCAAAGGGGTAGTACCCCCTTGTACTTGAGTGTGGACAACCTCAAGAGATAGAATTGTCCTCACCTAGACTGGAGGTGTCCTTTTTATAAGATAAGGGGTAGTGCTCTGGCCTGGGTGATGGAATATTCAAAGGAGGGAGGCTTTGGGATGGGGCTGCAGCAGACAAAGTGGTCTCCAAGAAGGTCAGATGCAGTCTGCAAAGTGTCTGGTGCATGATGGGAAGTGAGGCCTAGCCACATGATGAGGAGGGGCTGTACTTCATCCATATTGAGTTCAAAATAGAAGCTGATGGGATTTGGGTAGTACACATGGCTTGGGTGTTGGCTTAGCTCCTTATCCCTCACTGACTCCCTCCCTAGGTCGCATGAGAATGAGGACAGAGCATGCTCTACCATGTGTGTGGGCCTCATGCAATTCTTTGATGACCCACATATAAGAACAAGGTGGAGGGAGGAGGAATTTCTTCCCTTTCTCTGAGCTAGGGCATCTATCTTCCCAGTCCTTGGACCTCAGCATTCTTGGTCCTTAGCCTTTGGATGTGGACCTGACAAGCCATTGACTTCCCAGTCTTAGGGTTAGGACTAGAATTACAACTCTTGTCTTCCTAGGCCTTCAGCTTGCCGACTGTAGGTCATGGGACTCCTCATCTTCCATAATTGTGTGAGCCAGTCCCTCATAATAAATCTCTTTATGTCTCTCCCCATGTACCGTTGGTTCTGCTTCACTTGAGTAGCCTGGGTCTTGCAATCACTGTACTGAAACAGCTCTACTCAAAGTCGTCAGTTGTCTGTATTTTACTAGGCTAGTGTCCCGTTCCCTATCCTCATCCTACCTCATCTTTTATATTCGGTGCAGTTAACTTATTCTCAAAATACCCCATCCCCTAGGATTCTCTGACATCATACTTGCCTTATTTGCTGCTACTTCCTTGGGAACTCTCTTGCGTCTCCATTCTGGTTCTTCCTCTTCTGCTACTTCTAAAAGTGGTGCGTTGCAGGGTTGAATCCTCTGCTGCTGCTGTGTCTCTATTTCTCTTCTGATTTCATCCTACTCCATCTGACGTTGATGCTCATTATTTTAAGATGCTGCATTTATGAATTAACCTATTTGCTAGAATTTATTTGTAATTCTCAAATTAATATTTACTGCCCTTTTGTGGTCATTCATGGACAATGAAAAGTGGTGAAAAATTTGTCTCCTGAGGTACATGATGTCAACTGAAGCTGAATAAGGTGATGATAGCCTGCTTTGTTGCTTTAGATCTCATTCTGGATCAGTTGATTTAATGCTACATGGTATTTTTGTGACTTTTGTTTGATTTCACTATTTATAGTAGTCCCAAAATATAGGCCAAAGTGTAGTCTGTGCTTTTAAGTGCAAAAAGGCTTTATGGGGAGAATACATTCAGGTATGAGTTAGTGCTAAGGGTTCAATGCTAATGAAAGAAAATATATATTAAATGAAGTTTCTTTTTTTTTTTTATTTATTTATTTTTTTTTTTGACAGGCAGAGTGGACAGTGAGAGAGAGAGACAGAGAGAAAGGTCTTCCTTTGCCGTTGGTTCACCCTCCAATGGCCGCCGCGGCCGGCGCGCTGCGGCCGGCGCACCGCGCTGATCCGATGGCAGGAGCCAGGAGCCAGGTGCTTCTCCTGGTCTCCCATGGGGTGCAGGGCCCAAGCACCTGGGCCATCCTCCACTGCACTCCCTGGCCACAGCAGAGGGCTGGCCTGGAAGAGGGGCAACCGGGACAGAATCCGGCGCCCCGACCGGGACTAGAACCCGGTGTGCCGGCGCCGCTAGGCGGAGGATTAGCCTAGTGAGCCGCGGCGCCGGCTTAAATGAAGTTTCTTTAAACAGAAACACATAGAAAACAAGGTTATATATTGATTAGTTGAAGTAAATTTGTTTTTTATACTCATGAAAGGTATTTATTTATACATATGAAAGTATTTTTAAAGCTTATTTGATGCAAAAATTTAAAAATCCACGTGCAGTTTTTTCAAGGATGTCCTCATGAACTTTTTCTTAGAAAGCTTTTATTTAATAAATACAAATTTCATAGGTACAGCTTTAGGAATATAGCAGTTATTCCCCCATATCCGTCCTCCCACCCCCACTCCGGGTGTGTCCTACTCCCTCTCCCATTCCATTCTAGTTGAATTAAATTTACCAGAGGTTTGTAGGAAACTGGCCCTGTATTTTCCTTAGAAACAGCTGGTCATGGTGATTTCATAAAATGCAACGGCTGTGAATGAGAACTGACTATATATGTTGTTGGGCTCTTAAGGTATTTGTATGAATTCCATTCTAATATATTCAGTGACTTTCATCTCCATATTTGAATATGGAATAGACATTTTGAACTCAACCTGCCCCAAACAGAACTCTTGTTTCCCTTCTTAAATCTTTCCCACCTGAGCAAATTGTACCATCACTAATCTACCCAGTTCTCAGATCAAAAGCTAAGGAATCATCCTACATTCTTATTATATGTGGCACATCTAATCTTTTAGCAAGTCCTGTGTGTGTGTGTGTGTGTGTGTATTTAAAGATTTATTTATTTACTTGAAAGGTAAAGTTACGGAAAGAGAGGCAGAGAGAGAATCTTCCATCCACTGGTTCATTCCTCAGATGTCTACAATGGCCAAAACTGGGCTGATTTGCAGCCAGGAGCCAGGAGTTTGTTCTGGGTCTCCCACATGTGTATAGAGGCCCAAGTACTTGGGCCATCTTCCACTGTTTTCCCAGGAGCATTAGCTGGGAGCTGGATCAGAAGTGGAACAGCTGGGTCTTGAAGCATTGCCCATATGGAATGCTGGCGCTGCAGGAGGTGGCTTTACCCATTATGCCACAGCACTGGCCCCTTCTGTGTAAATTTTGAATTCAGGTGTTGAGCATTCTCTTCCTTATACCCCTAGTCAGACTATCATCTCTTACTTAGGTTACTGCACAAGCTTCCTAACTGGTCTTGCCTGCACTCCACACCACCTCCACCCGACGCTGCCCATGTTGATCTTCTACACAGAAGTAGGAGTAAGTTTTCTAAAGCATAACTCAGATCACGTCACTCCATTGCAACTGAACTGAAGTCCACGCTCCACTGGTCCATCTGGCACCTGACTGCACCTGACATCATCGTCTCACGCTGTTTTCTGTACTCCCTCCTCACCTGTCTTATACCTTAAGCACACCAAGCTTGCGTCTTTCTCAGGACTTTGGTTTGCTGGTGCTTTCTTCATGTCATTCTGCCTTTTCCGTGTGGCCTCTTTTGAGCAGCTCCCCTCGTCTTTCCCTTAATGGTATGACCCTTCTTGTTTGCAAGTTTGTGGGGCTGTCTTCCCCAGGTTGAATGGAATTTTCTTGAAGTTCGGAACTTTATCTTTTTCACTGTGGAACCCTCACTATCTAAAATATCTATTATAGAGTAGAGTTTCAGTAAATATTTATTAATTGTTGATTAATTGGGCATTCTGGTAAAGTAGCTTTCATGGTTGACTGGCAGAAAACAAATTAGACTGTAAGAACTTTTTTGTCACTGGGCACTGTATTTTACCCAAATCAGAAAATAAAGAATTGAATTCATTTCTTAAAAGTAAACCCAGAGGGGCAAGCATTTGGTGAAGTATTTTAATTTTTTGTTTATTTGAAAGGAAGAGTTACACACACACACACACACACACAGAGAGAGCGAGCGAGCGAGTGAGCTTCCATATGCTGGTTGACTCCCCAAATGGCTAGAACAGGCTGGGCCAGGATGAATCAGGAACCAGGAGCTTCTTCCAGGTCTCCCACATGGGTGCAGGGGCCCAAGGGCTTGGGCCATCTTCTACTGCTTTCCCAGGTGCATTAGAAGGAAGCTGGATCAGAAGTGGAGCAGCTGGGGCTTGAACTGGTGCCCATATGGTATGCCAGCATTGTAGACGGTGGCTTAACCCATAATGCCACAACGCTGGTCCGGTGAAGGATTTAACATGCTGCTTCAGGATGCCTGAAGCCCATATCAGAGTGCCTGGGTTTCGAGTCCCAGCTTTGCTCCTAGTTCTAACTTTCCACTTATTCATACCCTGGGAGATAGCAGGTGATGGCTCAAATAGGTGGGTCCCTGCTACCCTTGTGGGAAACCCAGATTGTGTTCCTGACTCAAGGCCTTGAACTGGCCCAGCCCTGCTGTTTTGGCATTTGGAGAGTGAACCAATAGATGGAAGATCTCTGTCTGTCTCTCTTTCAAATATATAAAATAAATAGAAAATTTTTTAAAAATAAGGAAAAAAATCAAACCTAGAATGAAAAAAAAAAAAACCCCAATAATATATCATAATACCTATTATCAGGGGACAACACTGTGGTGTAGCAGGTAAAGCTGCTGTCTGTAGTGATGGCATCCCATATGGGTGCCGGTTCAAGTCCCAGCTGCTCTCTTCCAATCCAGCTCTCTGCTGTGGCCTGGGAAAGCAGTAGAAGATGGCCCACGTGCTTGGGCCCCTGCACCCACATGGGAGACCCAGAAGAAGCTCCGGGATCCTGGCTTCAGATCAGCGCAGCTCCAGCCGTTGCGGCCAACTGGGGAGTGAACCACTGGATGGAAGACCTCTCCCTCTCTGCCTCTCCTTTCTCTTTTTTTTTTGACAGGCAGAATGGACAGTGAGAGAGAGAGACGGAGAGAAAGGTCTTCCTTCGGTTGGTTCACCCCCCAAATGGCCACTACGGCTGGCGCACTGTGGCCAGTGTGCCGCGCCGATCCAAAGCTGGATGCCAGGCACTTCCTCCTGGTCTCCCATGGGGTGCAGGGCCCAAGCACTTCCTCCACTGCACTCTCGGGCCACAGCAGAGAGCTGGCCTGGAAGGGGGCAACCGGGACAGAATCCAGAGCCCCGACAGGGACTAGAACCCGGGGTGCTGGTGCTGCAGGTGGAGTATTAGCCTAGTGAGCCCCGGTGCCAGCCAACTCTGCCTTTCAAATAAATAAATAAATAAATAAATATTTTTTAAATTTTTATTTAAAGACAGAGTTACAGAGAGAGGTAGAGACAGAGAGAGAGGCCTTCCATCCACTGGTTCACTCCCCAGATGGCCACAACATCTGGATCTGTGCTGATCCGAAGCCAGGAGCCAGGAGCCAGGAGCCTCCTCTGGGTCTCCCACTCTGGGGCAGGGGCCCAAGGACTTGGGCCATCCTCCACTGCTTTCCCAGGCCATAGCAGAGAAATGGGTTGGAAGAGGAGCAGCCAGGACTAGAACCAGCGCCCATATGGGATGCCAGTGCCTCAGGCCAGGGCTTCACCCTGCTGCGCCACAGTGCCAGCCCTCCCCCCACTTTTTTTAAGTTTCTAAGCTTTTTATTCAGTGAGATAAATGCATAGGAGAGTGAGGGCTCCATCTAAAAGAGAGAGGGAAATCTGGAATCATCCCGAGAACCAGGAGCCAGCCACGTGGAGGGGCATGCAGGCCACGAAGCGTGGAGCAGGTCATCTGAAGGCCAGGCGTCCTGGAAGCGCAGGGCAGCAAGGAAGAAGAAGAGCAGAGGGAAAAAGGGCTAAAAGGGCCAGTAAATAAATCTTTAAAAAAATACATATTATTGCCAGCGCTGCGGCTCACATGGCAAATCCTCCGCCTTGCGGCGCCGGCACACCGGGTTCTAGTCCCGGTCGGGGCGCCGGATTCTGTCCTGGTTGCCCCTCTTCCAGGCCAGTTCTCTGCTGTGGCCCAAGTGCTCGGGCCCTGCACCCGCATGGGAGACCAGGAGGAAGTGCCTGGCTCCTGGCTTTGGATTGGCGCAGCGCGCCGGCCGTAGTGGCCATTAGGGGAGTGAACCAACGGTAAAGGAAGACCTTTCTCTCTGTCTCTCTCTGTCTAACTCTGCCTGTCAAAAAAAACCAAAAAACAACAACAACAAAAAACATATTATTGTTAATTCTGAAGTAATTTTCCAATAAATTATAACTAGGTAGAGATAAACATTAAAATTTCATAACCAACTCTTTGACTTGTATCTGGAAAAATAATTTGTTAAATGAATGGTAACTGATGCTAACTTTATTTGACAGGTAACATATCTAGTTTAGGAAGTCATCTGCTGCCCCCTTCCCCCAGCCTGCTTTTTAAAATGGCAGTTTTTAAAAAAATATTAATTTATTTAAAAGGCAGTGTTAAACAGAGAAAGAGAGGGAGAGGCAGAGATCTTCCATCTGCTGATTCACTCCCCCAGTGGCCACAACAGCCAGGACTTGGCCAGGCTGACACCAGGAGCCAGGAGCTTCTTCTAGGTCTTCCACTTGGGTGCAGGGCCCGGATCACCTGGGCCATCTTCTATTGATATTCCCAGAGCACTAGTAGGGAGTTAGATCAGAAGGAGTTAGGACTCGAACTGGCTCCCATGTGGGATGCCAGTGTCACAGGCGGTGGCTTAACCCGCTGTGCCACAATGCTGGCCCTGGAACGGCAACTTCAATGCTTCCTGCTGCCTTAGTCTGCTAGTAAGAAGGAAGGATGGAGACATTTGGAAGCACAAATATAGTTAAAAGTCCTTAAAAATGGCAGGAGCCTCATGGATTTACGTGACCACAGGATCCTTAGCACAAATCTTTGTGGAGCTCACTCTCATAATAAAGCAAATTATTTTACATATATAGGCTTTAAAAAATTGAAAGAGTAGGTAGGGTTCATCCCCACATATTAAGTTCATGATCCATACAGAACCACCTAGGCGGTCAGCAAGCAGAATGGAGAGAATTCAGACACAGAATGGAATCAGAGAGCATTTTGGCGATATTCCCATGTTCAGTTGTACAATGAATACATTAAGTGTAAGCTGGACTGGCGCTGAATACCAAGACAGACATTTGACTGTGAGGTTCTGCTGTTCTTCAATCACGTATCTTAATGTTTTATACTCTGTATTTCTTTCAGGCTGGCCCTCACTGCCATGAATAAATTTGAAGAAGCAGTCACAAGTTATCAAAAGGCATTAGATCTTGACCCTGAAAATGATTCCTATAAGTCAAATCTGAAAATAGCAGAGCAGAAATTGAGAGAGGTATCCAGTCCTGTAAGTCATTAATGCCAAATGAGTGAAGACTTTTTCACTTATGATTTATTATAATTAAAATGAAGTGGTTAAATGATTCTCAGATATAATTGTTTTACAGACAGGAACTGGATTGAGCTTTGACATGGCTAGCTTGATAAATAATCCAGCTTTCATTAGTATGGTGAGTGTATTTCTTTTTCTGTTCCACTGCCTCTGTTTTCCATAGTTATTATTTCTGAAAGTTTTTAGAAACAAGTAAGGGAGATTTTGTGGTGGTGGTAGTGGTTGGTGGAGTGTGAATGGCAGGCTATGGCCAAGGTTCCTCACCTGTCCATGTACCTCCATGGGAAAGTTATGGATGGGCTACAGGAAGCCCATGGATCCCCCAAATTGTAATCATTTGTGTACATATATATGTGTTCATTATCTACAAAGAGAACCATATTTTTCACAGATTGGCATAGGAGTCTACTAATATATGAAAAGATAAAGACCACAGTCTTATCTGAAGTGATCCTAGGAAAATAGCTAACAATCGAGGTCTCGGGATTTGGGCTACAGTGGTTTCCTATACTTGCTCCCTGGCATTGTCTGCCTTACTTTATATCTGAAGAGTTTATTATAAGTCTCAATATAAAATACATAAGAGTTCATATAAGTCTCAGTGTACAAGGGGACTGCACAAAGTTCATGGAAAAATGGGACTATTTCAGTGCAAAAAAAAATTTGAAGCCCATGCATAATTTTTTATAACAGTCATTTTCCATGAACTTTTTGGAACATCCTATGTGTATGTACTTTGTTCTTCAAACCAACAAAATAACTTACGGGTCTTTTGAAAATATTCATGCTGTATGGTGTGGGGAGCAATCCGGACTAGACTAAGTTACTCGAATTAAGACTTATTCTATGCATCTGCTCTCCCACAATATGGCGCTGGGAGAGAAGTAAACAGCTTCCGCACAGCTGCCTCCAGTTCAACCAATTAACTGTAGGACTTGCTCCTGATTGGAGAGCAGCGTGCTCGGCGTGTGGGCAGCCAAGTTAGGATTGGCGGAGGAGGACTATAAAGGAGGAGAGAGACGGCATGCACAAGGAACATCTATGGGGAACATCTAGCTGAAGGAACACCTGTGCAGCCCCCCGAGAAAGCCGGCCGGCGGTGTGCCGCTCCCCTGCGGAAGTGGGGAATGCGGCCAGGGGGAACTGCCCTTCCACGGAGGTGGAAGGGATAGTAGCCAACCCGGGAAGAACCAGCAGCAAACCCGGGGAGGGCCGAGCAGACGAAAGAACAGCTCAGGGTCCTGTGTTGCTCCTCCACGAAGAGGGGGAGCGACAGTATGGTACCTTTGATTTAGTGCATCTAGGATGTTGCCTTGGCATATAATGCTCCTTGGGTGACTGTGTGCTGTGGCTGAGAGCCATTCTACCATCTGATATATATTTGGAAAGCAGAATTCAGTTCCTTTTCATATTTGTTTCCTTCAAGAAGTGTCCTGCATCCATTAAACTTTCAGCTGAATTGAAGTATGCAGATGACTCAGTCCAAGTGAGATAAAGTCTTTTGAGGAATTGCTAGGTTTCCCCCACCCCCAGTCAGATTTGTCAGCTTTCCACCTACATGCTGGAAAATCAGTCTCTTTGTTAAGTTTTATGACATTTTTCCAACATGGTTAGTTACTCAGCTCCAGGGCCCAAGTTATGCTATTGTCGCAGGATATGAAAAGGGAATTCCTTTAGTTTCAGACTTGTTACTGGGTTAGGATGCACACTGCTAGGTACCCAAATAAGGTGTGTGCCCACCATGGAGGAGTTGTAAAGACAGGGGGTTGAAAACATGTTTTGTGACTTTTCAGCAGGCTGGTAGAGATTAACAATGAGTTTTTGGGCAGAGCTGCATGTGTGAAGGAAGTAGAAAGGCCCGCCGTCGTGTCCAGCCCAATGAGAAAGGGCTTTCCTGGTCCACTCAGCACCCCATGCAACATGGCCACTTCTTTATAAAAGTACTCTTTTGGAGTGGACCCTCTCAGTGTGAGAGGTTCTGTAATTACATTTTAAAAGTTTCTATTTTAGGGTTAATAGTGTTGTCAGTAATCTCTTTATCCTTGCAATGATATATATTTTTTAAAGATTTATTATTTATTTGAAGGGCAGAGTTAAAGAGTCAGGGTGGGGGAAAGAGAGAGATCTGCTGGTTCACTCCACAAAAGCTGAGGCTGGCCCACACAGAAGCCAGGAGCCAGGAGCTTCATCCGGGTCTCCCAAGTGGGTAGCAAGAGCCACTGCTTCCCAGGTACATTATTAGGGAGCTGGACTGGAAGTGGAAAGAGCAGCTGGGACACAACCTGGTGTTCAAAAATGATGCAGGCATCCAAGGCTGCGGCTTCACCCACTGTGCCACAACACTGGCCCCTGCAATGACTTTTTAATGTCACATTTTCTAGTATCTTCCTTTTTTACATTCCCGTCAACTTAAATCTCTACAATGTTCTAGTACACATACGTGAGTTAGCTTTCATTCCTCTACTTAAAAAAAAAATCTGTTAAATATCCCTAAATATTAATTGCCTTTGATGGAAGATGCTATCTTTTTTTTTAAGTTTTTATTTAATGAATGAATTTTTTCATAGATACAACTTTAGGAATACAGTGGTTCTTTCCCCCGTACCCATGTCCCCCTTCCCCGCACTCCCATCCCACCTCGCTCTCCCTCTCCCATCTCCTTCTTCATTATGGTTCATTTTTAGTTTGACTTATATATGGAGGACCAACTCTATCCATGATATGCATAGACTTCAACAGTTTGCACCCCCCCACCCCCAACATGTAGAGTACAGTTTGGGAACAAAATTTGCAGTCAGTTCTCATAGTACAACTCATTAGGGACGGAGATCCTATATGAGGAGTAAGTGCACAGTGACTTCTGTTGTTCCTTTAACAATTAACACTCTTATTTATGACATCAGTGATACCCCAAGGCTCTTGCCATGGGCTGCCAGGGAAGCTTTCAGTGACCATAGACTCCATCGGTATTTGGACACGGCCATAAGCAAAGTGTTCTCTCCTCCCTTCAGAGAAGAATACATCCTTCTTTGATGATCCCTTCTTTCCACTGAGGTCTCAGAGATCCTCCATGTAGGATATTTGGCTTTCCATGCCTGAAATGCTCTCATTTGCCTTTCAGCCCGACCAGGAAGCCTCAAGGGTTGATTCTAAGGTCAGAGTGTTATTTACAGCGAATGTCATTCTAGGAGTCTGCTGTGTGCACTGCTTCCCATGTTGGACTTTCCTTCCTTTTTCATTCTATTGTTATTACCAGGCACTGGATGTGATTTACAGGATCACTTTTACACTTAAATGCTATCTTTTAATTCCAGGCAGCAAGTTTAATGCAGAACCCTCAAGTTCAACAACTGTAAGTATATAGAAAGGGCTTATTTCATTTTCCTTCTTCTACTTGCTGGAACTTATTTGAGCATAGCCACTCAAAAATGATAAAAAACTGCCCCAAATGCTGGTCAGTTAAAACTTAAAATGACACATATAGGATCCTACCTCTTACACGATATGGGTATACTTGTATTTAACTGACTTTTCCTTGGCCTAGTTATCCTGATTGTTAACAATATAATTTCAGTGTTGTATCTCTTGCATACTCTAGAATGTCAGGAATGATGACAAACGCCATTGGGGGACCTGCTGCTGGAGTTGGGGGCCTAACCGACCTGTCTAGCCTCATCCAAGCGTAAGTGTTGCTTGTTTCTAAGGTGAAGGATCAGGGCTTTCTTTTTAAATGTTTATCTGTTATTGTTCAGATTGGCCTCTTTAAAATCAGAAAGAATTTCATAAACTAGAATCACTTTTCAGACTAAAAGGCAGGAATCCAGAAGACCTGGGTTGTCTGGCCAGCTCTGTCCTTAAAGAAAAGCTACCATGTGCTTTCAACATGCTTTTTTTAAAAAAGCCTTCAAGTACCAGGAGTCTTTTTTTTTTTTGTATCATCTCAGTAAGGCAGGTGAGGGACAATGGCTGGGCCAAGCTGAAGCCAGGAGCCAGGTCTCTACCTAGGGTACAGGAACTCAAGTACGTGGGCCATCTTCTGCCTTCCCAGGTGCATTAACAGGAAGCTGTATTAGAAGTGGTGGAGCCAGGACTCAAACTGGCGCTCACTCCAGTATGGGATGTGGGTATCGAAGCAGCAGCTTAACCTGCTGTGCCCTAGCACCTGTCCTGGTGACCTGGGACTTTTGAGGGCATGGAAGGAAGCAGTAAAAATCATATGTCCAAATATTTTTTTATCTCTTATATAAAGCAATTTTTTTCAAGAAAAATTTTTTTCCCAAGAGAAAGTTTTTCAGCAGACTTGAATACCTACTCAGGAATGTAGATGAAAGTCAATTATGTACTTAAAACAGTATTAATTTAGGTACAAATACCTAAATTAAAATCACATTATGTATATTTTATTTTATTTATTTTTTGACAGGCAGAGTGGACAGTGAGAGAGAGAGACAGAGAGAAAGGTCTTCCTTTGCCGTTGGTTCACCCTCCAATGGCTGCCGCGGCTGGTGTGCTGCGGCCGGCGCACCGCGCTGATCCGATGGCAGGAGCCAGGTACTTCTCCTGGTCTCCCATGGGGTGCAGGGCCCAAGCACTTGGGCCATCCTCCACTGCACTCCTGGGCCACAGCAGAGAGCTGGCCTGGAAGAGGGGCAACCGGGACTAGAACCCTGTGCCGGCGCTGCAAGGCGGAGGATTAGCCTAGTGAGCTGCAGCGCCGGCCAAAATCACATTATGTATATTTATGTTCAAGTTAAGAAATGATTTTATCCAAACTTTATCAGTACCTCTGATGACCAGAGGAACTCCTTTGCATTTTCTCATTACTTGATTGTATTATCTTCACTTCCACCCAAATTGCTTAGGATACTTTGCTCTATGAATATGTATCTGATGCTGTCATTGGAAATTTTTTTTGTAAAGTCACAAGTACCATTTGCTGTTCATGATCATGACTGTGTAACCATTTAAAATACTGTATTTTTAGAGTGATCTTTAAATAGCACAATTACAGTGATGTCTAACACTTGCATTTGTGGTCATATGCTGAGGAATTTGTGTTCAACTTCTTTGTCTTTCAAAGAATCAGCAGTTAAGTAACCCCTATAAGCATCCCACACTGGGTGTTACATCCTCTTTCCATCAGAGACCAATAAGACTTGAGCATGAGAGCATTATATTTGAGCATACATAATAACAGCATATACTTCTTAGCCGTTTGCTTATTCGTGGTGAAGCATTAGAGGTACAGATTTCACCCAATTCAGGCACTCATTTTTTAGCTTGGGTGTTTTGTTTCTTCACTTGACTTAACCAAAAGTTGCAGAAGCAAGGGGTGTTTTGTCATCAAGATCAGTGCATTATAAAAATGCTGAATATGGAGGTATTGGTTAGCTTGTAGGTTAACAGTCATGGTTCTAAAACTTGTCTGTATAGGAAGAGTATACTTTGCGTATTCCCCACATCTTCTGAATTCTTTTAGACATGGATGTTGCATGACTGGCAATGCCCTAATCCTCACCCCTTTGCTTTGCTCCTGCAGGGGACAGCAGTTTGCACAGCAGATACAGCAGCAAAACCCTGAACTTATAGAGCAGCTGAGAAATCACATCCGGAGCAGGTCATTCAGCAGCAGCACTGAAGAACACTCCTGATCTGCAGGGACCCAGGCTCGGGGCGCAGCTGACAGACTTCCTGTAGACAGAGCCCCGTCCCTCAAGCACCGTATCTGATGTTTGAAAAGAATGGAGGAAAACCTCTTGTGTACATTCGTAAAGAATAAATCTGTTTAGACAATAGATTTATCACAAACACACTCGACCATCACACGACTCCTTTGGGAAGAATCCTGTAGTCCTGGGACAAGGTTCCATCTTCAAACTTTTACCATTATATTTGCACATTAGACTGAATAGCAGAGTATATTTATTTGACAGTGGGGCTGTTCATGGTGAGTTCCATAGCTCCAAATTCCATTAAGTATCAGTTTTTTGAGAGGGGAGATGATTAAGAGAATCATTTCCCATGCTGGTTTAGAAGAAGTATTTGCTACCGAGCAGCACCTCAGGAGAGAAGTCACTTGTTATCTAGGGTTAGCCTTGATAAGTACTGGCAGTAAGTATTTATCCTATCTTTAATGCTGTTTGTCCTGATGAGTGCAGGGTATCTTTAGAGCTGGTAGAAAGCAGCATTGGTGTAAGGCATGTTTTAGAAAGGAAACAGCCCAGAGAAGGTGAATGGGAGGACTGCCCAGGTTATCTGCTTAGCTCTTAACTAGTCCTGTCTACATTCTGGTGTTGACAACATTCGCATGGCCAGTTTTGCTAAGTACATAATAAAATACATTTAGAAATCCTTACTGGTACTGGTTTAATCAGTGATATAACTGCTCAACGTAATTATCACAATTTCCCTGGTGGTGACTTTACCTTGGAAATTATCAAATTCTTATATACCTATATTTAAATAAGCCAATGCTCTGGCCCTAAGGATTTTCTAAGTGGCATTTAATTATGTGCCCATAAACATTTTTTTTAAACTTAGGATAGCAAGAAGCATCTATCACTAACTTTGCTTGTTTATGCAATTCTGTTATAATATGGCTTGGCATGTTAGTCTTAAGTTTAATTTGAAACAATTTAAACAGGAGACACCGTATTTATTATAAATTGGATGTCACAATGGTTAGTGGAGAAAAATTGCATTAGGTGTTAATAGCTTGGCTCTAATTACATTGATGGATGACTCAGTTCTAAATCCAAATGGAATTTACTTTTTGTTTATTAATCATGAAATTGGTGAAATGGGGCTGATGGAGTGATTTCACAAGTGTTGAGAGGGAAAACTGAAAAAGAGTAGTGTAAAATTAAATCAGTAAAAATGATGATGATAACATCATCCATAACAGTTCTCAAAAGACTAATTATTTTTGGTAGACTGAAGTTACCCAACCTTTTTTTTTTTTCTTTTTCTTTTTGTGAGATTAGATGAGTTCTCTAATTTCACTGTTAAGAATCACCTGGGGAATTCATTAAAAATACAGCTTCAGGGCCACACCTTCAATTTTGACTTAGTTGGTCCTATAATAAGGCCTAGGGATTACCATTTTAAACAGCACAACAGGAAGCTCTGATACAGGTCCAAGGACTCCAACCTAGAGCAACACTGGGTTAGAGGTTGCTTTGCAGTTTGACCAGCAAATACTGAAGCACTTGGCTTCAGGCTAACATGAGACTTAAATGACCTTACAGAGCTGGACAGAGAAGAGTAGGGCTTAAATCTTTGGACCTTTGAAATTAAATCTATATTTAAACCAAACCATCTTAATTTTTCATAAAATTACAATCAGCTCCTAGTGTTTAAGTGTTACAAAGAATGAAGTACTAACTAATCATATCAAAGTTATGATTGATCAAAAAAGCAAAGCTGATCCTTAATTCTCTTAAACAGTGTTGCATAACAAGTTCAAGTCTGTAGCATAACTATCTTGAGTGCATTAAAAATGCTTTCAGAAGAATTGATAAGCCTTTAGCTGACTGATGAGGAAAGTAGAAAATACAGCCAGGATCAGAAGTGAAAGGTGAGTACACTGCAGAACGGAGGAATACCATCAACGCTAGACAGTCTCTTCCAGGAGGAAGCACTCCCAGCTCCTTGTGTGGCCAGTAGTGCCATGGTAATAAAATCAAAAATATCATAAGAAACACACTTTAAAATAATGCCTTCTTGTAGTATTATCTGTAGTTATGGTAACTGTTCTTTTTAGATAAATGAAAACTGATATATTTCTTCCATTTCATTTGTCTAGTTTTTTTTGCTAATCTACCACCTACAACAAATTCATTGTAGTTGCTATCTTATCCATTTACCTGGATTTTCATTTCATTCAAGGTATTTTTGCTCTTCATTTACTTTCATCACTTTGGAATAATTGTACTGCAAGTTATTTCCAAAAGCTTTGTGTAGACAGATTGTGGTAGCTACTCTTACAATTATATGAAATGTCCAAATAGTAATCTCAAAAATATGGTTGCTATCTAACTATAGAAACAAGAAGGCATTAATGTTAATTTTATATGCGTTTTACTTAGGAATGTTGTCCTCCATTAATCACATTTTATTGTGGTAGCTATAGCTGCTACAATGTTGCATAAAACTGAACATGTCCTTTTATTGTACCAAAGTGTTAATTTTTATAAAATAGTTTAAATAGATCCTTTCTAAGATGGCATTATCTAACCTTTACTTAGAAGTATGAACGACATGCATCTGGGTTATTGTTTAGAAACATAAGAGATTTTGTAATTAAATAGAAATATATATGTATATGCACAATTATATGTTACCTCTTAAATCTGAAACAGTGAAACAGAAAGTTCAATCATGAGATGTTCGAAAAAAATCAAAATACTCAGTGCAGTGGCTATAAAGTCTTATTTCATTATTTGATCAACCTTAATCATTTGGAAGAAAGATAGACTTCAGTTTTACACTGCTTATAATTTATTTTGCACAGATATTTCTTTATTATTCAAATTTGAAGGGCAACCCTTCTGATTATAGCTTTCATTTGGGACCAGTTTGTCACAGCAATAAATAATTATGCAATTAAGAAAAAAAATTTTTGTATTTGACTTGATGTGCTTTTACATTTAAGAAATTATATATACATTCTTGAATTTCAACTTTACCAAACAGGATAGCTTTTATCTAACAGCATAATCTTTTGTTTTCTTCGCAAAATATTGAAACTTGTTGTTACATTCACAGTGCTACAACCTAACTTTCCCATTGTTTTGCTCATAGCATATGTAAATTAGTGTGATTCAATGGAAAGACACAAAGCTTCAAACTACTAAAACATGATCTAAAGTTTACAATCAAATATCAGATGCTGGGAGGCCTACAAATATGTCTTATGAAAATAAATGTCTTATTTTTCAATGGGAAAAAAACCCAGTAGTTTTTGGCTTTGAATTATAAGATTACTAGGCCTGTCAGTTAAAAATTAACTGAATAATCAACAGCTTAGGAGAGAAAACCAATTCTGATCGGCTGTTTAGTACCTTAAAGTTAGATGAGCAGGTGACACATACATACCAATATAATGATTTTGAAAATAATTAGCAAACCTCATACTGTGTTAGCCAGTACCAGGAGGACTACCCCAGTTGTAAACAAACCTTTTATGTTGACTAAGGAGCTAAGAAAAAATCCTGGAGCTCCCTATTTCTAAATAAGGTACTGAGAGAGTTCTAAAGTTGTAAGAAACAATTGTATCTTCTATGCCGAGGTCAGCAAACCATGGTTTACAGGCCAAGTCCTGCCAGCCTCCTGGCTTGTAAACACCAGTGCACTTTGCTGCCTACTGCTGCTCTTGCACTACAACTGCAAAGTGTAGTATTTGCGGTAGAAACCATTCTGTCTTTCACATAAAAACTTCACTGACTGCAGCTCTAGAAACTTGGGACAAATGGCGTCAAATACAGAGATTGTGGAGAACAAAGTCCAAGTGATATCTACAATGAAACAAAATATGAGTAGAAAATGTACAAATGTTCACTGAGCATGCAACTCACAAGATAAAATCGGTAGATAGTTCTGTTCAAAACAATTATTTAATATTTTCTTACAAGAAAGAAATTTAAATAATATACTTATTTTTGCTGTTGACTTGATTATTTTACAGAGATGATGGAAATATAGAAACAAAAAGGGTAATTTTCTTCAGCTTTCTACTTTAATGGCCGAAGATACCACACAGACTTGTGCAATGTCATCATATTCATATGTTCTCTTTAAGAATGTGTCTGTTAGTCTTAAGCCAGAGACGCTCTGTTGAGAGAAAGATATGGGTCTAAGTTTTGTATAATTGGTGATTATCAGAAAAAAATATGGATATAGCAAATAATTATCAATAAGCCCCCAAGTATTGAAGTTTTTGCAAGCAACATACTTGTAGTCCCTGTACCGAAGATAGTAGAGTAAGGGCGAGGCAGAGAGAGGAACTTGGATGCAGCTTTCCAAGCTGTCTTCCTGAAATCCCACACCAGTGGATAGAATTGGTGTTGCACATTTCCAAAACCAGGTCCATAGTCCTTTCACTGCTGGAGGAGTTAGAAAAACAAGAATAAATCTTGTTCATTTCACCAAGAGATACTACAATATTTCTTCCATTTATGCCATTAAATTTGTTTTCCAGGTGCCAGGAAAATAAAATCCAAAAAGAGAAAAGCTATTATATTATTTTTATTTCACTTAAGATAGAATTCATGAAAATGAAAGATGATGGCATCTTCTAGGGCTTAAAATGGTCTTAAGACTATCTGCCTACTGGAGGTTGGCCATCTAGTTCTGTTGTTTAACCCTGCTTCCTCACGCTGATCTGTGAACAGCTTTGCCATTTTTTCGAAGACTTCAGACATTTGTGTCTAATATTTTCTGTATTCTTACTTGACAGGTTACTCTAAGGAAAGAAAAACTGAATTTGGTCTAGTGCTTTTACTAATTAATCTATGCTTAGCCGTGCAGAAAGCTAAGAAAATGGTAAGATTCAAAAGGAGTAAACAGTATTCAGGTTTGCTCATTTTATTATCATTTTTAAAGATTTTCTGCTTATAGCTGATATACATTAGCAATGAGCTGGAGTCAGGAGCTGGAGCCACGTACCAAATTCAGGTACCGAAATATGATAAACACAAGGATATTTAACCTTGTTAAATACCTGTTTTTTTTTTTTTAATTTAAATAATCAAAAGGCTTCCAATGAAAAATAGCCTTCTAATCTCCTACTATTCATGGCTATTTTCAACTTGTATAGATTTTTCCTCTTCATACTTGGCTAAAAAATTTAAATTTGTTTTCATTGTTTTTTTTTTTTTTTTTTTTTTTTTTTTTGACAGGCAGAGTGGATGGTGAGAGAGAGAGACAGAGAGAAAGGTCTTCCTTTTGCCGTTGGTTCACCCTCCAGTGGCCACCACGGCTGGCGTGCTGTGGCTGGCGCACTGCGCTGATCCGAAGGCAGGAGCCAGGTGCTTCTCCTGTCTTCCCATGGGGTGCAGGGCCAAGCACTTGGGCCATCCTCCACTGCACTCCCTGCCACAGCAGAGAACTGGCCTGGAAGAGGGGCAACCGGGACAGAATCCAGCGCCCTGACCGGGACTAGAACCCGGTGTGCCGGCGCCGCTAGGTGGAAGATTAGCCTAGTGAGCCGCGGCGCTGGCCTTCATTGTATTTTAAAGTGTGTTTGTGTGTATGTGTGTGTGTGTGTATGTGAGAGAGAGAGAGAGAAAGAAAGAGAGGAAAAGGAGGAAAAGAGGAAGAAAGAGATCTTTCAGCTGCTGGTGCCCTTCCCAAATTCCTACAAGAGCAGGATTGGTCCAGGCTGAAGCTAGGAACTGGGAACTCATCCAGGTCTACCACAAGGCTGACAGGGATCCAAGCATTTGAGCCATGTAGCTACCGCCTGCTGCCTCTTAGGGTGCGCATGAGCAGGAAGCTGTGTCAGACAGTCAGGACTCAAAGTCAGGCACTCTGAGAGGAGATGCGGGCATCCCAAATGGCATCTTAACCACTGTGACAAATGGCTCCCTATTGCAAAACTTACTTAAATTTTAACTTAATGATGTTTTAGGCATATTGACTTTGTGATATTAGCTTTTATATGTCTCTGTCTCTTAGCAAATATTTGAAATGCCCAGGATGTTCCAGAGACCAGGGTAGATGCACTACATGAATTTTACCATTAAAATCCAGTAGATTTGCCGGCGCCATGGCTCAATAGGCTAATCCTCCACCTTGCGGCGCCGGCACACCGGGTTCTAGTCCTGGTTGGGGCGCCGGATTCTGTCCCGGTTGCCCCTCTTCCAGGCCAGCTCTCTGCTATGGCCAGGGAGTGCAGTGGAGGATGGCCCAGGTGCTTGGGCCCTGCACCCCATGGGAGACCAGGAAAAGCACCTGGATCCTGGCTCCTGCCATCGGATCAGCGCGGTGCGCCGGCTGCAGCGGCGGCCATTGGAGGGTGAACCAACGGCAAAGGAAGACCTTTCTCTCTCTGTCTCTCTCTCTCACTGTCCACTCTGCCTGTCAAAAAAAAAAAAAAAAAAAATCCAGTAGATTTGTGTTATATGTATGTTGCAGGGGGACTCATATTTTTAGAGTTGAAAGAACTGAAGATCTAATAAATAAGTGTCTTTTAGAAGACTTGAGTTACCAGAACTTAAAGTGAACACCAAATATATATATTATATATATTTAGTAGTACTTTTTCAGTTCAGTAAACTGATTTGCTAAACCTAAAAAAACTCAAATGAAAACATCTAACAAACTTCATATACATAGGGTCTTTGCTTTGGTGCACTGTTCTTTTCTGAGGTTTTACAATGTGACAGGCACTGCTTTTACAAAATTGAGTAGGACAAGTCTCTTCTCTCACTTTTTTTTTTTTTTTAATTTTAAAGATTTATTTACTTGAAAGGCAGAGTTACAGAGAGGAAGAGACAGATCTTCCATCCATTGATTCTTCCCCCAGATGGCTGCAATGGCAGGGGCTGGGCAAGGCTGAGGCAGGAACCACAACTTCCATTCAGGTCTCCCACATGGAAGGCAGGGGCTCAAGCACTTTGGCCACCTTTCACTGCCTTCCCAGGGGCATTAGCAGGAGTTAGATTGGAAGTGGAGCAGTTGGGACTTGAACTGGCACTCACACAGGATGCCTGCACTCATAGTATGTTGCCATCGCAAGTGGCAGCTTAATCTGCTGTGCCACAAATCCAGCCCCAGGTCCCTTCTTTTCAATCACAATCCAGTGGTAGAGACTAATAGTTATAGCAATATATGAGTATCACTAAAAAATTAAGCCAGAATTTGCTATGACACAGAAGGAATGATTAGCAGCTTGGGAGACTCTTGGTAGCATCATAGAGAAGGCAGTTTTCTCTGTAATTGTGAAGGATGAATATTTCCCATTTTCCCAATAAGAAAAAGCTGATATGGATACAGAACTAAAAGGATTATACAGTCACACTATGAGGGTTGGGATCCATCACTGAACTACTATTAAAATACTCCAACTCAATGATACATGCCAAGTCGTGATACAAACAGTAGCAAAAGTACTGGGCTCTTCAGGTTCTAGACTTTTCAGGTTTCAAAGCCATGTGCTCTTTGTATCCCAGTAACTAGGTTTTACTCTTTATTACCAATACCATGTTTTTCAAACTATGATTACCCTTGATATTAAATTCATAATTAATTTTTGGTTTCTTAATACTAAATATACAGCTCATTATAAGCATGCCTCAGAACAACCTATCTTACAACTTTCAATCAATAACATATCCTTACATAAGGACCTAATAGTTTATGCTTTAATAATCTGAAGTGTTCAAGAAGTATAAACCTGAAAAAAACACAGACTCTGAAGTCAAAAACACCTGGTTTCACTTTCTGGCACTACCTTGTCTAGTTCTCCGAGTTTGAAAAAGTCATTTAACCTCCATGAGCTGTTTTTTCTTGGATAAAAGATGGATAATTAATACCCACATCATTTATGTGATGCATAAATGAAAAGTAGAAAATACCTAATACAGTAAGATCTCACAAACAGATAATATACTGGGGTGGGCATTTGGTGTAGCAGCTAACAGTGCTGCTTGGGACACTTGTATCCCATACTGGATGCCTCAGTTCAAGTTCTGGCTCCACTACCAGCTGCTAGGAGACAGCAGGTGAAGGCTCGAGTACCAGGTTCCTGCCACCCACATGGGAGGCCTGGATGGAGTTCCTGGGTCTCAGCTTCTGTCTAGTCCAGTCCCAGCTGTGGTGGGTATCTTGGGAGTCAAAAAGCAGATGGAAAAATCTCTGTCTCTCTGTTTCTCTGCTTTTCAAACAAATAAATGAATACATAAATAAAACTTTTAAAAAAGAAAAGGACAAGTTTAGCTTGATATAAATAATTAAGAAATCTACACATAATTTTTTCATAAATCATATTTTCTATGCACTTTCTGAAGGCCCCGTGTATTCAACACCAGAGAAGCCTTTCTGTCAACAGAAAATATAAAAGAAGACAACATATTCAAAACATTTAGTAGTTCTTTTCCAGTTGGGTGAGGCAGCAAAGACATCTATCCATAAAAACTGGCATTACCTGCAGTTTGTGATTTTACAGGTAATGTGAAAGGGTTCTTCTAGGTTCACGGTATCTGGGATTGCCTCCAAAGACAACCTAACATCTCCGTAACCTGGAGCCTAGGAGAATTAGAGACACAGTTAATATACATCGTTTGAAACCTTTCCATCTTAATGATGCTGCCAGACCCGCACATTCACTCAATGCACTCTGGGTCTCCACGCTCATGTTCTGAGAAAATGTTTCTTATTCCTTCTATTGTTCCCTCATTCTACCTCATTCACTGCCACCAGTGGAACAGCCTTGCAGACCTGTTTGGTTTTTCCTATAATTGTTACATGTCCATACAGTTAAGACCAATCTTATAGGGAAGCAGCAGTAAGGAAATCTCAGGGTGTTTGATCTTAAAAGGATGCTTTCCAGAGATAATATAGCATCTACACAGAAAACTTTAAGTAGATAAGTTTGCTACCTAAAGAGACAGAGAGAAGGAACTTTGAAATGAGTCAGGCAGAAAGTCACGTTTTTTCACAAGACATATGGGAAAGGACAGATTACAGAAACATTAAGGTTTAGGACATGCCATGTAGGGATGATAATTCATTCATTGCTATATTTTAAATTGGGCCCAGTGATGATGATGTTGATGTTGATGGTAATGATAGGTCATCATCATCGCCCCCCCCCCATAACTTATAGCTTAGAACGGTGAAAGAAAGTCACTTTTAGAGTATGTGAGAACAGAGAACAGGGAATATTCAGCACAAAGGGAGGATCCTGTAGGAATTCTCACTAGAACAAGAGAAAGCTAACTAGTAGCTGGAAGCTATCCCTGCTTTCAGTGAAGAAATTAACTAAAATATCTAACTAATGCTTATAAGCTAAACTTAGTAGGACTCATTTCTGAATTTCAGATGCCTCAGATTTTTAACATGTTACAAAAGACATAATCTGAGTAGGTAAATGTAGTAAATCTGAAAGTCTCGGGACATTGCAAAAAAGAAAACCTTGATGTGAGAGGAGTGAGCATAAATTCACAAAGGAGGGGACAACTGATAAGCAGTTTAAGTTCTTCTTGGTAAAGTGAAAAAAAAAATGTATTAAGGACAAATTAACATCTGAACATTTTCATTCACCTCAATACTAGTATCCTACCCGGAGACCAGTGAAACTGTTAGTCTATTCTTCTCTATTATCATTAATGCCTTTTACAGGCTCTGATGGCTAGGAAAAGTTAAGTTGTGCCAACTACTTGTTCCTTCTCCCCACGTCCAAAATCCCCACTGAAATTTTTTTCCAGACTTACCATTCTCTGAAGTTGGCTGGTCTGTAACCTTCCCCTCTCACCTAGATTTGTTTTCCATACTATATCCAGTTTTCCGATTACCGTTACTCCTTTAATGATGCCTGCTTTTTCTGCAAACTCCTTTTTGGGCTTTAGGCAGTATAAGTACTGGCGTGTATCCATTGGCTGCAAATATGCTCTCGACCCAAACGTAGATAAACTGAGAGGGCAAAAATAGACAGATGTACAGAGAATTCTCTAGCATCTTTTAAAGGAAAAAACATAGTGTGATTTGCTCCTTTTGGACAGGAACCGGATGATTTACCACCCAAAGATCTAGAATAGGTTAGAGGTTTCAACCTCAAAGAAGAGGACTTACACTGAGAGAATTTATTCTTTCATGTTTTCAATCAACATGGACAATCCTGAGATTCTTTACAATAGGATACATATGTTCTTTATAATAGGATACGTGTGGGGCCAGTGCTGTGACCTGGCAGGTAAAACCACTGGCAGCAACACTGGCATCCCATGTGGGTGCCAGTTTGAGTCTCGGTTGCTCCACTTCTGATCCACCTCCCTGCTAATGCTCCTTGGAAAGCAGTGGAGGATGGCCCAAAAGCTTGCAGCCCTGCATCCATGCGGGAGACCCAGATGAAGCTCCTGGCTGCTGGCTTCAGCCTGGCCCTGCCTTGGTCATTGTGGCCATCTGGGGAGTGAACCAGTGGATGGAAGACCTCTCTCTCTGTTTCTCCTTCTTTCTCTGTAAATCTGCCTTTCAAATAAGTTTCAAAAAAAATTAAAAAGTTGGATATCCTTAAAAAACTAATCATTTCTAAAACAAACTGAAAGATTTAGAAAATAATGGTAAAGGAGGCTATTAATTTTTGTTTGTAATCACCAAACGATATAAAAGTAAACTTTCATTCTTGATTAAGAAAATCAGGTATTTTCCCCAGTTATAACTTAAAAAAAAAAGAATTTAATTATTTATTTGAGAGGCAGAGTTACAGACAATGAGAGGGAAAGACAGAGAGAAAGGTCTTCTATTTGCTGGTTCACTCCCAAAAGGGCTGCAACAGCTGGAGTTGAGCCAATTCAAAGCCAGGAGCTTCTTCTGGGTCTCCCACATGGCTGCAGGGCCAAGCACTTGGGCCACCTTCCACTGGTTTCTCAGGCCACAGCAAAGAGCTGGATTGGAAGAGGAGCAGCTGGGACTAGAACCGGCACCCATATGGGATACCAGCAAGGCAGGCAGAGGATTAAACTACTGCACCATGGTGCTGGCCCCTAACCTTTTTTTTTTTTTTTTTTTTGGACAGGCAGAGTCAGACAGTGAGAGAGAGAAAGACAGAAAGGTCTTCCTTTTTCCGTTGGTTCTATGGCCGGCGCGTTGCGCCGATCTAAAGCCAGGAGCCAGGTGCTTACCCCTGCTCTCCCATGCAGGTGCAGGGCCCAAGGACCTGGGCCATCCTCCACTGCACTCCCGGGCCACAGCAGAGAGCTGGCCTGGAAGAGGGGCAACTGGGACAGAATCTGGCACCCTGACCGGGACTAGAACCCGGGGTGCCTGTGCCACAGGCGGAGGATTAGCCTATTGAGCCGCGGCGCTGGCCCCCCAACCTTCTTAATTATGTTAAAATTAACCATAATTTATTCCTCCTCTAAATTTGCTATACCTCAGTTTTATCATTTGCAGGATAGCAATGACAGGTTTACCTCACTGAATTGTCATGAGAATTCAGACCAAGTGCTTTGAACAGAAAAACATACACTGCAAATGACTAGGACCTACTTTTTTTTAAATACAGAGGGAGGAAAGAACAGGAAGAGCAAAAGATTTTTAGGAAAGTGAGACTATTTTGTATGATATAGTAATGGTGGATGTCTATCATTTTATATTTTCCCAAAGCTTTAGAATGTACCATATGAAGAGGAGTCCTGATATAAGGCATGGATTTTAGTTAATAATAGGTCAATTTTGTTCACCAGTTATTTCAAAGTGCCACATTAAAACAAGATGTGGCCGGCGCCGCGGCTCACTAGGCTAATCCTCCGCCTAGCGGCGCCGGCACACCGGGTTCTAGTCCCAGTCAGGGCGCTGGATTCTGTCCCGGTTGCCCCTCTGCCAGGCCAGCTCTCTGCTGTGGCCTGGGAGTGCAGTGGAGGATGGCCCAAGTGCTTGGGCCCTGCACCCCATGGGAGACCAGGAGAAGCACCTGGCTCCTGGCTTCGGATCAGCACGGTGCGCCAGCCGCGGCGGCCATTGGAGGGTGAACCAACGGCAAAGGAAGACCTTTCTGTCTCTCTCTCTCTCTCACTGTCCACTCTGCCTGTCAAAAAATTAAAAAACAAAAACAAAAACAAGATGTAAGTAGCAGGAGAAACTGTGAGGAGGGAAATGGGTATGTGCAACTCTAATTTCTGATGAACTTTTCTGTGAACCTAAAACTTCTCTTAAAAAGTCTCTTAGCCCAGCTCCGGCCATTGCAGCCACTCAGGGAGTCAACCAACGGATGGAAGATCTCTCTTTCTCTCTCTGCCTCTCTGTAACTCTGCCTTTCAAATAAATAGGTAAATCTTAAAAAAAAAGTCTCTTAAAAACAACTCAAGAGTGATGGATGTTAGAGAAACAAGCATCTCTCAGAACAACAACAATCAGTTCATAATGAATATTTACCACTCTCCAGCTTGGCTGACTGAATTCAATTCTGTTACATTGTACATTATAGATGGCTCCAATGAAACTTTCTCCATAAACATGGGTGAAGTTGTAATATTCTGAATCTGGGCTTCCAGGAATACTTCATCAGTCTGAAGATATGAAAAAAAAATACCCACCAAAGTGTGATGGTATTTAAGATATTTACCTTCACAAAAATATCTTATCTATATGAAGAAAAAATATTAACCACAAATGTGATTAGTTCATGCCTGCAAATCAAAGTTATCATAATTAATGTAGGAAAAGAAATCTTCACCCTAACATAATTAACAGGAGCAAAGTCAAGTGTTAGTCAACTGAAACCTTGTCAAACAATGGATGGGGGATAACTAGGTTTTGTACATCCCAAAATATCTATTTACCTGAAATTTTCTGCACTATGAATAAACTATTTTATAATCATATAAGACTTAAATTTTTAAATTAAGTAACTTTGAATAGTTATTAATGATTTCCTGTTTTATTTTAAATGTAGACTTAGGGCTAAAAAAAGAATATGTGAATTATACCTGACCATCAGGTATAATTCAATTTAAATCAACAAAAGGTATCTTGTGGCCTTAGTAATAGATCTGAAACTGATGCTACTGGGCAATATTTCAGTCACTGTGTAATTTAAATACTTAATTTAACTATTTTATTCCCTTTTTTTTCTGCTACTTGGGTATTATTATTATTTTTTTTGGCGTAACTGAAGGATTACATACTAACTTGGTTTATCTTTGAAATGAACCTCAGGGCTGGCATTGTGGTGCAGCTGGTTAAGCTGCTGGCTATGACACCAGCTTCCCAAATGGGTGCTGGTTGGAGTCTGAACTGCTCCACTTCTGATCCTGCTCCATGCTAACGTACCTGGGAAAACAGCGAAAATGGCTCAAGTACTTGGACCATGCACACAAGTGAGAGACCTGGAAGAAACTCCAGGCTCTTGGCTTCAGCCTGGCCCAGCCCTGGAAGTTACAGCCATCTGGGGAGTGAACCAGTGGATGGAAGATCTCTCTCTCTCCCTCTCTGTAGCTCTAACTTTCAAATAAATAAATACATCTTTAAAAAAGAGATAAAAAATGTTATATTAGGGGTGTCTAAGAACTAATTTTTTCAAAAGCCTCATAGTAATATATCTAAATATAAATATCACCTAAAATAAATCATGACCAAAAATTTTTGGCATTTATGAGTTTTAACACCAAAGCCAGAAAGATGGATATAATTTGCCAAAGTATTATGATGAGATTATAATTTAATGCAGTATTATCTAAAATACAATAGATTCTTTAGTCTTTGGGCCATGTGCTCAAGTGAAAATAGAACAACATACCGTATCAGTTCAAAACAACGTAGCATATAAGGGCATTATTCTGTTACTTTTGCTTAAAAAAATATATCCCATCAATCCATTGCTTTTATAAAAATAACCACAGACCCACATTTCAAATTTAAATGCAACTTTCTGCATAAATTTAGGAAGAGCTTATATAAAATGAAAGATAAATAAGCAGCATAATGGAAAAATCAAGTTAGTTTGAACAGTTAGTATAAAATAATTTGACATTGAAAAATTAAGGTAAGAATTTAGTGCTAAAGCAGTTGTTATTACATATGTGATGTGATATAAGCAAATGCTGTTTATTGTAAACAGAAATTTGAAAGTATGATTTTAGTCTGCTTGGGCAAATCTGTTTTTCTGCTTACTTCTGTCAAAAGGTCATTGCTACCTGACCTGAACTTCAAACTAAAATCACTGTGCTTCTATGTGAAAATGAATTTCAACTTCAAAGAATTGAAGGATAATAGGGTATTTTATAGTAAGATATTGAAAATCTCAAGGCTATTTTAAATAGGGCTAACATGCTTCTTTTTAAAAATACCTAAATAGAAACACCAAAACTGACAATTTAACATTTGGTCTAATTTTTTTTCCCAGAAAATAAGATAATAGATAAAATATAAATAGCACATTCAAATTATGTATTTCATAGGTGGTATTCACAACTAACTGTTTTTCCACTATGTTTTGTAAAGAGAGATTAATTAGGCAGAGTCAAAAAGTGGTAAGTAAGAAAAGTATACAAATTTATAATAAAAAATCAAATTACCACAGAACTGAGGTCACTCTAATGGAAAAATAAAAAAGAAAAATCAGAGTTAAATGTTAAAGGAAAAGAATAATTTTAAAATAAAATGCATTTCTGCATTCTAAAAACTTACTATGTAAGACAGCATTAGTTAACAAGAAAGTAAACAGAAAGCAACATGAAGAAATATGAGAAGCTATTTTTCTAAAAAGGTAAAATTGCTAAGGTTAATTACAACAGAACAGAGAAGAACACAACGGCTGAACACCAAAACAAGCAAACAGTTACAGGCACATTTGGGAGCAAAGAAGTTTATTTCATGACTTTCTAGTGCTATACATTTTTTACCTTTAGTGTAATAATTAAACGATACTTAGAATGGTTATACACATGTAGAATATACATGGTATTGCTTCTCCTAAATTTATCTGATAACAGAATCCTCTTTTCAGGAACATCTTGGTTGACTACATTTCAGGGAATGCTGGGATACAGTACTTCTGTCAATGGACAGTTTATTCTCCTCTTTTTAATAGATCTCATTGTCTTTTTTTCTATATATTTCTTAAGGACAATGTCAAAGACACCTCCTTTATCAAATGCATAGCTGGAGATCATTTTTTACCTCTTCATGTTCCCAGTTACTTCATTATTTGCAGGGAGTGCAAGGGAGGGCCTTACACTGCAGGTATGTCATGTCAGCCTCCTCCCTCAGGTTTTTTTTTGTTTGTTTGTTTTTTTGACAGGCAGAGTGGACAGTGAGAGAGAGAGACAGAGAGAAAGGTCTTCCTTTGCCGTTGGTTCACCCTCCAATGGCCGCCGCGGCCGGCGCGCTGCGGCCAGCACACCGCGCTGATCCGATGGCAGGAGCCAGGAGCCAGGTGCTTCTCCTGGTCTCCCATGGGGTGCAGGGCCCGAGCACCTGGGCCATCCTCCACTGCACTCCCTGGCCACAGCAGAGGGCTGGCCTGGAAGAGGGGCAACCGGGACAGAATCCGGCGCCCCAACCAGGACCAGAACCCAGTGTGCAGGCGCCGCTAGGCGGAGGATTAGCCTAGTGAGCCGCGGCGCCGGCCCTCCCTCAGGTTTAAGTTCCTTGAGAACTGGGAAGATGCTCAATGTATATTTATTTCTCTTCAGCATCTGGCGTGGGATTCTGTATCAGCAGAATGTTTGAAACCTTGCTTTTAATCTTACCAAACCTCTTGCAAGGCTTTCTTATCTCAGAAGACTGTAATAAAGTTTTTCATGGAACTGGTTTTCTTAAGGTGATTCACATACTAATAGTGTTACTACAATCATACCAAAAACATTTGAGACAGATGTAGGCTAACAGTGGTCACTGTACCACAGACTGAGATCAAGGACTATAGTAGAGTACAAAGCATTCATATACTAACATTGGTGTGGTTTACTAACTTCTATAATCTGTTTTAAATTCCTACTGCCGGCGCCGCGGCTCACTAGGCTAATCCTCCACCTTGCAGTGCCAGCACACAGGGTTCTAGTCCCAATCAGGGCGCCGGATTCTGTCCCGGTTGCCCCTCTGCCAGGCCAGCTCTCTGCTGTGGCCCGGGAGTGCAGTGGAAGATGGTCCAAGTGCTTGGGCCCTGCACCCCATGGGAGACCAGGAGAAGCACCTGGCTCCTGCCATCAGATCAGCGCGGTGCGCCGGCCGCAGCGCGCTGGCCATGGCGGCCATTGGAGGGTGAACCAACGGCAAAAGGAAGACCTTTCTCTCTCTCTCTCTCTCACTGTCCACTCTGCTTGTCAAAAAAAAAAAAAAAAAAAAAAATTCCTACTTAGGGTCAACAGAATCTACCTCATGCTACTGACTGAACAGATTTGTTTGCCTAAGTAATACTGAGTAGATAAGAGAAACTCTAAATGGTATTTGCTCACTACTGTCTTTTAAGATATGTCTATTTTCAAAAGGTTAGAATTTTACTAAAAACTTTTTAGTTGAAATTTGTTGGCAAAGTTTAAAGATTATGACTATATATGATGTTAACGGAAAAAGGCAGCAAACAAAATTGTCACTGTGATTATAAAAATAGATTACATATAAATGAATAAAGACTCCAAGAGAATACAGATTAATGAAAAATCAATCATTTGTTAGTGTGGTGGAAATGTGGATTTTATTCTTTCTTTATAGGAAGCATGTAATTTGTGTAATATTTATGGAATAACTAGCAATTTAAAACATTTGCAAATTACTTTGAATATCAGTGTTATAAAACTACTTGGCAAGTATCTTAATGTAATGTTACATTTTTAATAAAGAAAATTTAAAATGTCTTAACATGTGCTTCCAAAGAGCCAATTATAAAAAACAATAAAATAAACATATCACTCCAGGCCCTATTTCTTTTGAGCTTTCTAACATGTATTATAAAATAGGTAACATTCCTCCCTCATAGTATGAATGAAAACTTTTCCCCAAAAATGATAGACTATTTAAAATTCACCAATCACTCATGATAGTGTAATCAAGTAACAGTATGCTATTAATAACAGAAAAGGTAGACTAAATGTGCAGTACCTCAACTCATTATCAACTCTTTATACATCTCATAACCTCCTTGCTGAGGCCAAATTCTCTCATCAAATATGTATGCTCCTCACTATGAACTTACTATTCTACGTTCCTTTGTCATTCTGCTTTGAATACCTTCACTGCTCTGCCAAGCAACATGCATTCTAGACTCCATTCTAGTTCCCCTCTCTTCCTTGAAGACTCTTTAGAATACTCCAAGATCTCATCTCCAAAGTTCCTGTAGCACATCTTTTAGGTAATTCTCATTTTTGACTTGCTATATTTGGGTAATTTTGCTGTTATATTATATACATTTTTTCTTTTCTCTTAGTATGTCTGCTGCAAATCAGGTTCCTTAACTTTGACATATTAGTAATTATAAAATAAACTTTATACTGAGTAAAAAACGTAGATTGCTGATGGTAAAAATATGTATTAAACGACATGTTATTTCAAATTTCTGTTCATCATCTTTTTTTTTTAAGAGTAACAGAGATATAATCTTCATTTCAAAACACTGTATTTGGATACTTTTCAGTTTATCAGTGCAGTATGAAACATATGATTCTGGGGGAGTAAGGGGACTATTTGAGAGATCTGATTTTTCTACAGCTCTAAGCCAAGATTTTGAATTTTTGGGACCTCCCAACCGTGCAACAAGCAGTAAAACCTTTCTTTCTTCTATGGAAAATTCTAGTTTACCTGTTTCATTAAGAGAAAAGACATGTTGTCTTCTATTTTAGAACTTATTTCTTCCAAGAAACTTTTCAAGCTATTTACTAACTTAACAGGCTAACTCTGGCTGGCATATTGCCTTTTCAAGAAGTGTGCTGAGCTTTGCTTGTTAATATTTTTCCATGTAAATATTAAAGCTAGATCTACTCCTTCAATTTTTATAATATCTAGAATCATATTATAAAAATCCAACAGATTGACAGTGTTTTTAAGGAGTAACAATGACCATGAAATGGAATTGTATGACAATCATTTAAGGAAAGGGGTTGAGAAGCTTTACAAAATTAACAGTGAGAATAAAAATCAAGACAGTGATTCTATGTAGGTTGAAAACAGTAGATTAAAAGAGATCTATAATGAAATTATTCACTTTTAATTGAACTTCATGCTCATTTTTCAGAAATAATTCAATCACATTATTAATTTACTTCAATATGATAATAAATGTAATGATCAGAATTTCAGTCAATATTTTAACATTTAATTTGAAATCCTATTGGGAGTGAAACACTTACTTACCTCTGCATTGTAAAATTTAGTTTTCACATCCAGTGGTTTGAGAACCTGGTTAAATAAAGCATGCCAATCAGCAGATTCTTACCATTTAATAATTTATTTTTGTTTATTTGGTTTAAATTACAAGGTTTAAATTCATCATAGCAATTTTTAAATATCAATACCCTTGCAGAAAAAAGAAAAATCTTGTGCATTTTTTGAAAGGCTATCCTCATTTCTTAACTGCGTGATAGTAATATTGGTGTTTATTACATAACATTTTGTTAAGCTGAATACACATTTTATGAATTTTCAATATCAACAGTATATTTAACAAACACTGTTTTCAAAAAAGCAATTGCACTTTCCTTTATTTTCTTTTAAAAGGCATGCAAATGAGTGATATAATAAAATAGTGGCAAGGTTTTTTTCTCTATTGACAGTATTTTTCTTCCACTTATGGAGAAATTAAAAATGTATCTATAGTATCATTTCTAGATCTACTGTTATAGATTACTCTCATCTTACCAGCCACACATACAAGTGTTAAACCAGTTCCTTTTACCTACTTTTTGATGGTCTTTGAAAAGTATGTAGTAATACAAAGCTATATCTAAAATCCCAGTGAATTGTGGAGTTCTTAAAGGAAGATTGCTCAATATAACCCAAGTTAGGAATTTCTCCTTTAAAATTTTCTTTAGATATTTCAAACTATTTATACTTACTTTTTCCTTCTTTTGGAATTCTTGTGTGTTTTGTCCAAAGAAAATGTATTTTTTGAGGGATAAAAATCTTTAAATTTCATTATAAACATTACATTGGCAAGGATACTTTCTCTGCTATTATTTACCTTAGTATAGTCTGACTTTAGATTGCTGTAACAGTCATTCCTTAGTATCAACTAACCCCAGACAGCTACCAAAATCGAAGAATGCTCAAGTCCTTTATATAAAATGGTGTAGGCTTGCAAATAACTTATATAATACTCCTGTATATTTAAATCACCTCAATATTACTTATAATATGTAAAACAACATAAATGTTACACAAATCACTGCTATTCTCTACTACAATGTTTAGGGAATAGAAGAAAATAAAAAGACTGTACATATTTGATACAGATGAAATTCTTTTGGCATGATTTCAATTCTGTGGTTGTTGAATCTGTGCATATAGAATCTGCACATGTGAAGGGCTGACAATAATGTGATAAAACCAAAAATACTGAGCTCTTCGTTTCATGTGGATCTTGTTTTTCTGCAGATAAACAGGAATAACTTTACCCTTCCATTAAAATAAGAATTAGAACTATTGAAGGTCATCATTTTCAATACCTGAAATTTGAAGAATTTCCTAAAATACATTTTTTCTCCACCCTGAGTTGTATAACTCACAGCACACACCAAGCTGAAACAGAAAGATGTCTTAATGAATCTACATCATTTTCTATTTATTAATAATAAAACTAACATACTTGAATTTACTTACAATCTTCAAAAACATTTCTATTAATTATGTGAAAGTATAGCCAAATGGCATTAGAGATAGGAGAAAAAAAGTTCTAACAGATTTGGACATAACTACATGAAGACCAAGTGAGCTCTGATTAATAAGATGAGATTTAGTATTTTTGGAGCAGGAAGTCAGAAACTTTTCCTTTGAAAAGTGTAATGCATTCCAAAAAAAGTCTCAGAATAACCAAACAGTTGGATATAAAAAATAAGTTCATATAAAGTAAAAAAAAAAGGATTAGAAATCAACTCCAGGACAGACTTCTTAAAATAAATACAATGAAAGACAAAAGATTATTATGAAAAATTTCAGACTGGATAAATCAAAAACACTAAAACAACTGAAGAGCAGACAATAAACTGGGATGAAATCCTTAGAACAGTATGTAACAATAATTAGGTTTCTAACATACAAAGGGCTCCTGTAAGTCAATAAACAAAACATCAAAGTATCACTCAAAATATGAGGAGAGGATCACATAAATCTCAGCACCACAGCTTGCTAACAAGAATGTCTGGCCTTGTGAGTAGTCCAAGAAAAGAATTACAATAATGAGGTAAGAAACAAATTACAGTAATAAGGCAAGATTTCTCCATCTATCAAGATGTGGCAAATATATTTAAAAGTGACCATCAGGGGCCGGCACTGTAGCACAGTGGATTAAATCCCTGGCCTGCAGTGCTGGCATCCTGTATGGGCACAAGTTCGAGTCCTGGCTGCTCCACTTCTGATTCAGCTCTCTGCTGTGGCCTGGGAAATCAGTGGAAGATGGCCCAAGTCCTGCACCTACGTAGGAGACTCGGAGGAAGCTCCTGGCTTTAGGTCAGCTCAGCTCTGGCCGTTGTGGCCATTTGGAGAGTGAACCACCAGCGGATGGAAGACCTGCTCTCTTTCTGGCTCTACATCTCTCTGTAACTGTCTTTCAAATAAGTAAAGTAAATCTTAAAAAAAAAAAGTAACCTATTTTTAAAGAAAAATAAAAGTGATAATCAGAGCTGGTTAAGAGTTTAGTAAAACTGACTTTCTTTATACTGCTTGTGGCTGAAAGGAATTAAGAAAACAATCTTTTAGTAAAAGAGTTTTAAAAATATTAATATGGGGGCTGGCGCTGTGGCACGCTGGGTTAACGCCCTGGCCTGAAGTGTCAGCATCCCAAATGGGTGCTGGTTCGAGACCCAGCTGCTCCATTTCTGATTCAGCTCTCTGCTATGGCCTGGGAAGGCAGTAGAAGATGGCCCAAGTCCTTGGGTCCCTGCATCCATGTGGGAGACCCGGAAGAAGCCTCTGGCTCTTGGCTTCAGATTGGCGCAGCTCTGGCTGTTACGACCAATGGGGGAGTGAACCAGTGAATGCAAGACCTCTTTCTCTCTCTCTGCCTCTCCTCAATCTGTGTAACTCTTACTTACAAATAAATAAATAAATCTTAAAAAAAATAAAAATATTAATATGTTTCCATATTGAAGTAAAATTCCATATTAAAGTAAACTTACTTCAATTAATATATCATAAAAATACGAAAGTGTTCATCATTGTCCTATTTATAACAGTGGAAAACTAAAAATAATCTAAACATTAGGATAAACAAACTGTACTGTCCAAATGTTTAAGATATAGTCTTTTAGAAAATACTGTCTTGAAAGAATACTGATTGAGGTGAAAAAGCATTCACACTGAATTGGGTGCCAGATCAAGACCCAGCTGCTTCACTTCCAATCCAGCTCCCTGCTAATGGCCTGGGAAAGCAGTGGAGGATGGCCCAACTGCTTGTGCCTCTAAATCTATGTGGGAGACCCAGAGGCTCTGGGCTCCTGGCTTTGGCCTGGCACAGCCCTGGTCATTGTGGCCATCTGGGGAGTGAACCAGGGGATGTAAGATATCTCTCTGTCTCTCCCTCTCTATCTGTAACTCTGCCTTTCAAATTAAAAATAAATCTTAAAAAGAAAAGGATAAAACCATGAATAATACTAAAATTTTATAAAATATCATTTATAAACATTTGTTATATAGATGTACATTAAACGATTGGAAAGAAATATTTCAATATTTTGACAGTTGTTAAACTAACTGGTAATATTATCATGTAATTTATTTTGCCTTTATACTTGAGCCTTGTACTAAGCCTGAAGCTGGAAAGAGTTTGATCAGAATACAATATGCCCTCAAAGTATCCACAGTAAAATAGTACAGGAAGGCACAGATTTTGAAACAAAATTGTTTTGTCTTATAAACTAATTGTTTGATTCTATCAGACTCATTTTCTGCAAAATAGAGGTTTTACATTTATCATTTCAATAAATTCAATGTCAACAAATAAGTGAGGGGCTGCATTACAGCAAGAGGGTTAAGCCACTACTTGTGCTCTAGCATCTCATTTTGGAGTGCAATTTGAGTCCTGGCTACTCTGCTTCTGATCTGGCTTCCTGCTAATGTACCTGGCAAGGCAGCAGAAGATGGTTCAAGTGCTTGGTTGGGATCCCTGCCTCCCATATGGGAGATCAGGAAGGAGTTCTTGGAGCTTGGCTTTGGTCTGGTTTAGCCCCGGCTATTGTGGGCATTTGGGGGATGTGAATAGTAGATGGAAGACTCCTCTCTGCTGCTCTGCCTTTCAAATAAATAAACAAGTAAGTCTTTAAAAAAAAATTGACCACTATTCTCTACTAAATCTCCATGGACCTCATTCTATAATGGGGAAAGCAGGCACTTAATAAGTAATTATAAACATGAAATTCAGAAAAAAGTGGTATGTTGTGGGTGCTATAGAATTTACAAAAAGGGAGGTTTAATCTATTCTAGGAGGTTAGGAAAGCCTCTTTTGAGGAAGTCAGGCTGAATCTGAGATGTGAAAAAAAAGCAGTTGCCAATGAAACAAAATGCCATTGACATTCATTCCTTTGAACACATGTTGAGCCATGGAGTTCAGAGACAAACACACACACACAAAACCAAAATGGCCAAAATGACTGCAGTGTAGACAGGGAGGGAGAATTGACAAAAGTTAAGATGTTAGAGTGACTGGTAAGGATTAGGTTGCGGAGAGCTATATAAAACACAACGTCAGAATGTCCTAAGGGGAATGGGAGATCACTAGACAGTTACGTGACTTTTTAAAAAAATTGTTTACTTATTCAACTTTATTTATTTGAAATCCAGAGTGACACAGCGAGCTACAGCAAGAGCGAGAGAGAGAAAGAGAAAGGGAGAGAGATTTCATCTGTTGGTTCACTAGTCAAATGCCCACAAGAGCCAGGGCTGGGCCAGGCTGTAGCCAGGAGCAAGGAACTCCCTTCTGGTCTCCCATGTGGGTGGTAGGGACTCATATGAGTCATCAACCACTGCCTTCCAGGTGCATTATCAGGAAGCTGGACTAGAAGCAGAAGCTGAGTCAAGATTTGATCCAGGCCAGCGCCGCGGCTCAATGGGCTAATTCTCTGCCTTCGGTGCCGGCACACCGGGTTCTAGTCCTGGTCGGGGTGCCGGATTCTGTCTCGGTCGCTCCTCTTCCAGTCCAGCTCTGTGCTGTGGCCCGGGAGTACAGTGGAGGATGGCCCAAGTGCTTGGGCCCTGTACCCACATGGGAGACCAGGAGAAGCACCTGGCTCCTGGCTTCAGATTGGCGCAGCGCGCCAGCCGTGGTGGCCATTGGAGGGTGAACTAACAGAAAGGGGAAGACCTTTCTCTCTGTCTCTTTCTCTCTCACTGTCCACTCTGCCTGTCAAAAGAAAAAAAAACAACAAAACCCAGGCACTCTAATATGGAATGTGAGTGTTTGTCCCGGATGGCAGGTTAGTCTGTTGTGCCACAGTGTGCCTCCAGTTACATAACTTTGACAAGATCACATAATTCATAAACGATGGAGCTGAAACTTGAACTCCAAGAAATTTGTCTCTAAAGTTTACACGAATCAAAGAATACATATCAAAAAGTGCCTATAATAGAGCTAGTCATCAAAATTAACTGACTAAATAAAGCTAATATAGTAAGTTTTAATGGGCACAGGAGAAGGAAAAGTGGTGATGGAAGTAGAGACAAAAAAGAGATAAAGGATATACAGTTAGAAGAATTAACAGCATTTTGAGCCGTGATGGATGTGGGAGTGCTTTGGAACATGAAAAAGTCTAATGTTACTTAAGAAGGCTGAAAATTGCATATTTGCTACTCATACTAAAAGAAAAATAGAGGCCGGTGCCACGGCTCAATAGGCTAATCCTCTGCCTAGCGGCACCGCCACACCGGGTTCTAGTCCTGGTCGGGGCGCCGGATTCTGTCCCGGTTGCCCCTCTTCCAGGCCAGCTCTCTGCTGTGGCCAGGGAGTGCAGTAGAGGATGGTCCAAGTGCTTGGGCCCTGCACCCCATGGGAGACCAGGAGAAGCACCTGGCTCCTGCCATCGGATCAGCGCAGTGCGCTGGCCGTAGTGCGCCGGCCGCGGCAGCCATTGGAGGGTGAACCAATGGCAAAAGGAAGACCTTTCTTCCTGTCTCTCTCTCTCTCACTGTCCACTCTGCCTGTAAAAAAAAAAAAAAGAAAAAAGAAAAATAGAGTATTCATGTTGAATTGCATACAAAGGCCAGAAATACAAAATTTGAGACTTTTTTTTGAAAGTTTGTCTTTAGTTTTTTACTTCATGTTTCTGAGAACATAATGTATGCACTTAATTATATAACTAGAAAATCGTGAATTTAAAAAGTAATCAGTGATCTAGTTAGCCAAAATGAAAGAGATCCCAAGGTCCTAACTCTTGCTATGAAAAACAAAAACAAAAACAAAAACAAACAAACAAAAAAGTAAATGCTATGAATGTCACTTGCTACCATTTAAAAAAAATAATGTGAGTTTTAAACACTGATGTAACGTCCTTTTTTAGATAAAACTGTAGATACAAAACTGAAACTAGAGATAAATGATGAGTTAAGATTATTTCCCTGTAAGATAAATATTACATTTAGTTTGTTTCTGGTAAGCAAGTAAATGTGGAATGTAAAATTTCTTTTAAAATAGGCTCTTAGGCGTAATGATAAGCAGAAAGCAAATATTTCAAATAAAGGCCTATATAAGTAAAGGACACTGAGAAATAGTAAAATTAATCCTTACATATGTGTTCCAATTTCTTTTACTTCATGGTGTATGACATCATCAATACAACAATCAGGTTTAAGTTCAGCCACTGCAGCATTCGAGGCTGAAAGATTTAAACGCTGAGAACTTGTTTGTAGATCAGCCTTGAAATAAAAGATAAAAAAAACCCAGATGAGATTGTTTTTCTACAGAGTATGGATGAGTATGGGTGGAAACAGCAGGGGAAAAGAAACAAAGAAGTGGAGATGAAACAGGGAACAACAATTCTCTAAACAAAGCTTAGAACTTAGAACATGGAAGTGGTTCATACACACATGGATGCCTTGAAAATAAAGACATAAAATCAACCAGGAGGTAGGAAGGTTCCAAAATGGAATGCAAACAATAACAGATGAATCTAACTGTATTTCAAATGAAAAACACAACCGCACTAGAGAGAAGAAACGGGGAAGAAAGAATTAACCTAATTAAGTATGGAAAACAGTCTTACCACAATCAAAGGCTAAGAAGAAAAGGAACAGTACACAAATGAACCCTAGTTAGTACACCTAGTTAGTACATTTGTTTTCTCAAGGCATATGGGTAGCAATTCTGAAAAGATTATGTGTGTACTAGGAAACAAATCAAAGAATTATGGATAATGAGATAGGCTTCTTACCTTCCATGAAAAAAAAGTACCAATAAGAAAACCAGGGGCCAGTGCTGTGGTGTAAGTTAAGCCTCCACCTGGGGCACTGGCAACCCATATGGGAGCCAGTTTGGGTCTCGGCTTCTCCACTTCTGATCCAGCTCCCTGCTAATGTGTGTGGGAAAGCAGCAGATGTCCCAAGTTCTTGGGCTCCTGCACCATGTGGGAGATCTGGAAAAAGCTCCTGGCTCTGGCCTTGCCCAGCCCTGGCCGTAGCGGCCATTTGGGGAATGAACCAGTGGATGGAAGATCTCTCTTACTCTTACTCTCTCTCTTTCTTCCTCTCTCACTCTCTCTCTGTATTTCTGCCTTTTAAATAAGTAAATAAATCTTAAAAAGTAAAGAAAATGGGGGAGGCTAACCCGAAACTTTGGTGTTGAATTTGAACCTTAGGCATATGGTTTATGCTTATACACACACACATTTATATTTAAATATATATTCACATAGATGGACTTTACTGAAACAAATATATATAGATATCCATGTATGTGTTAGTATATAATATTGAAAAATGAATTCAAAACAATAATATTAAAATGTCAGAGACCTTAGTTAATTGATGAAAAAAACTAGAGAACGATATTAAAGTCATCAACTAAGTCAGTCTAGCTCCTAGGGCAGCAGGTTAAGCCCCTGCCTGTGATGCTGGGATCTCATACGGGCACTGGTTTCAGGCCCAACTGCTTCACTTCCAATCCAGTTCCCTGCTAATATGCCTAGGAAAGCAATGGAAGATGGCCCAAGTGCTTGGGCTCCTGCCCCCACATGGGAGACCTGGATGAAGCTCCTGGCTCCTGGTTTGGGCCTGTCCAGTCCTGGCTTTTGTGGTCATTTGGGGGAGTAAATGTGTGGATGGATGATCTCTCTCCCTTTGTCTTTCTACCATCTCTCTCAAACTCTGCCTTTCAAGTAAATAAATAATTTTTTTTTTAAAGAAAATACCACCTTCTCTATAGTAATAGTTTCATTCCCACCCAGTTACTTTTATATTGCCTTTTGTATGTTCCTTTGAACATTTATCACCCTAATTGTCATAAATGGCATCCTCCTTTAATGTCACTCTATCACATTTGACTTACACTTCCTTTGCAGCACTCATCATAATCTACAAACACATTATTTACCTGTTTCTGTCTCCCCTATGGGAAAAGTCTATGGAGGCAGGAACCTCTTGTCTTCTCTTGCTCATCACTATAGCATGGAGCCTGGCATATAACAGGCAATTAACACACATTTGTTGAATACTGAATATATGGATGAAGTTATGATAAAACTTCAAAGCAAATGTTAAGAAAAATTTAGAGAAAGCAAAGATCACATTAGCTCATAGGGACTGATGAAGGTTTTTACATAAGAGCTAGGAGTCTAAGCTTTTCTTTCTTTTTTTTTTTTTTAATTTGACAGATAGAGTTAAACAGTGAGAGAGAGAGAGAGAAAGGTCTTCCTTCCGTTGGTTCACCCCCAAATGGCCACCATGGCCAGGGCTATGCCAACCCGAAGCCAGGAGTCAGGTGCTTCCTCCTGGTCTCCCATGCGGGTGCAGGCGCCAAGCACCTGGGCCATCCTCCTCTGCCCTCCCGAGCCACAGCAGAGAGCTGGAATGGAAGAGGAGCAACCAAGACCAGAACCCGGCGCCTATATGGGATGCCGGCGCCACAGGCAGAGGATTAACCTAGTGAGCCACGGCGCCGGCTAAGCTTTTCTTTCTTTTAAAAAGCCAACTTTGCAGTTACTTTTTTTTTTGACAGGCAGAGTGGACAGTGAGAGAGAGAGACAGAGAGAAAGGTCTTCCTTTGCTGTTGGTTCACCCTCCAATGGCCGCCACGGCTGGCGCGCTGAGGCCGGCGCACCGCACTGATCCGAAGGCAGGAGCCAGGTGCTTCTCCTGGTCTCCCATGGGGTGCAGGACCCAAGCACTTGGGCCATCCTCCACTGCACTCCCGGGCCACAGCAGAGAGCTGGCCTGGAAGAGGGGCAACCGGGACAGAATCCGGCGCCCCGACCGGGACTAGAACCTGGTGTGCCAGCGCCGCAAGGTGGAGGATTAGCCTAGTGAGCCACAGCGCCAGCCTGCAGTTACTTCTAATACAACCTTCTTAATGTGAGTCATTTTAAAGTAGGATATTTACTAACGCCATCTCATTCACTACTATATTCAGTCACAAAATAGTAGCTTACATTTATCAAGCACCTATCATGTGCAAGACACTGTTCTAAGTACCTTACTCATTTCTTTCTTATAAACCTGAAGTAGGTGTATAATCCCTATTTTACATACAATGAAACTCAGGCATAAAAGGTAACGGGCTGGTGCTGTGGTGTAGAGTTAAGCAACTGCCTGCAATGCTAGGATCCCATATGGATGCCAGTTCAAGTCCTGGCTGCCCCACTTCCAATCCAGCTCCCTGCTAATGTGCCTGGGAAAGCAGTCGAAGATGGCCCAAGTCCATGGGGCACCTGTACCCATGTGAGAGACCTGGATGAAGCTCCTGGCTTTGGCCTGACCTAAGCCCTGGCTGGTGCAGCCACTTGGGGAGTGAACCAGCAGATAGAAGATCTCTATCTCTCTCTCTTTGCCTCTCCTTCTCTGAAAACTCTTTCAAATAATTAAATAAATCTTTTTAAAAAAAGATAAAAGTAACAACTGTCCCAAGGTTACATAATTATTAATGGAGCTGAGATTCAAAATTCCTTAATTATTTTTAAAATTAGAAGAGAGAGAGAAAAAATACTCAAATCCATCGGTATTCTGTGTAATATGTTCTCCTGAGTTCTCCCAGTATGTTCTATGTCATTTCTGTAAATGTTAATTGTAAGTACAGTGTACAGATTACACAACACTTTTGCCTTTCTCCTTTTTACCACTATAAATAATGCTACATTGAGTACTTCCTGATTACCTAGGATATGTCAGGGCCTGTTCAAAGAGTTGGAGGTACATCAGTTGAACAAAACAGTTCAAATCTCTGCCCCTGCGAAAGTTCTGTTCTCTGAAGAAGATGGCAGGGAAGACAACTTGTAGTAAATAAGTATATTACTACAGATGTTAGAGGCCAGAGCACATACTGAGAGAAAAACAGCAGAGTAAAGTGGTAAAGAAGGATTGGCTTGAGATAGGATATGCAATGAAAATTGCAAGGTGGGCTTCAGGCTGCAAATTGGTTTTTGGATAAATAGAATTTGAATAGGCAGAGAGGAGAGGGTGTTGGGGTAATAATTCCTAGCAAATTAAACAGAGGTAGCAAATTAGGACAAGTGTGAAAGCTCTAGAGTTTTCAGAGGCCATCAAGAGTTTGGTAGAGTTAAGGTGTTCATGTTCAGAATGGAGAAATATACTTAAAAACATGTAGAGTAGGCTTCAAGAGAATATAGTAGGCTTGTCTGTTTCGTTTCTTGCTAAAATCTAGTTTCTAAAGTCATGACTGGTGTATATATATTTGAATCAATGTGTGCATGATTAGTATAGACCAGTAGTTCTCAAAGCATGGATCCCAGAACACCACAAATTAGTATCACCTGGGAAAACACTGGACTTATAAATTCTTGGGCGCCATTTAAGATGAAGTGAATCAGAAACTCTGGGAATGGGGCCTACCAACCAGTGGCTTTACAAGCCGCCAGATGGCTTTAACGCCTTCGAACGTTTGAGAACCACTAGCATAAAGCGTTAAGAGTTATTTACTTTTTTTTTTTTTTTTTTTTTTTGACAGGCAGAGTAGACAGTGAGAGAGAGAGAGAGAGAGACAGAGAGAGAAAGGTCTTCCCCTTTCCGTTGGTTCACCCTCCAATGGCCGCTGCGGCAGGCGCACTGCGCTGATCCGAAGCCAGGAGCCAGGTTCTTCTCCTGGTCTCCCATGCGGGTGCGGGGCCCAAGGACTTGGGCCATCCTCCACTGCACTCCTTGGCCACAGCAGAGAGCTGGACAGGAAGAGGAGCGACAGAGACAGAATCCAGCGTCCCGACCGGGACTAGAACCCGGTGTGCCGGCGCCGCAGGCGGAGGATTAGCCTAGTGAGCCACGGCGCCAGCCTATTTACTATTCTTTATAGCACATTTATTACAAACTTTTAAATTATAAAATACTTATGGTAGCACGATAAGGTTTACAGACTTAAATGCTGAGATTTTTGTAATTTAAAAAAACAAAAAACTAGTAATTTCTAATTAAACATAGTACAATATCTATAAGCATTTGTATTATCCAAAATAACATAAGATAACAGTGAATAAATAAAAGGAGAACATTCCACCATCTTTTTTCTGGGATTCCAAAATTCAAGGAGTTACAGACAAACTAAAATTCTGAAGACAGACTTCTCGGTAGCTGAACTATAACTGTGACTCTTCCAAGGTAGGAAGGAAGGGAGGGAGGAGGGAGGGGAAGAGGGAAGGAAGAAGGAAGGAGACAGGGAGGGGAGGAAGGATAAAACAATTCAAAAAAGAAGGGAGGGAAGAGGGAGGGAGGGATTTAGGGAGGGAGGGAGGGAAGGATAAAACAATTCAAAATCCCATGTTAGTGTGAATAGAAAGGAAGGAGGGAGGGAGGGAAGGATGGAAGGATAAAACAATTTAAAACCTATGTTAGTGTGAATAGAAGGCAACAAATGTCCAAACTTCCAGTTATGGGTAAGTAGGCAAATTCCCAAGCTTTTGCATAAGCCTTTCCAAAGAATAAGAGAAATTCATGAAAAATGGAGCTGAAGTTAAGAAGAGTAGGGTCAGACCAAAGAATGATTTAAAGCGATGCCAAACAGCCAAAGTCCAAGTGTGAAAATACTGAGAAAGGATACTACTGGAAGATGAGAGCTGTGTACATGGAAAGGAGTTAACTGTTTTAAGAATTATTTATCTATCTGTCCATCCGTCCATCTGTCCATCCATCCATCCATCCATCCATGAGACACAAAGAGAGCTCCCTTTGTCTGCTTCACTCCACAGTGCTTGTAACAGCTGGGCTGAGCCAGGCCACAAATGGGAACCAGGAACTCAATCCAGGGCTCCCATGTTAGTGCCAGGGACTCAACTACTTGAGCCATCTGAATCTGATTTTCATATAATTTTCACCTCAGGAAATATTCTTTTGTTTCTTTTCAATCATTTTAAAATGAAAAACTATTCTTTGTCCAAAAGCCTTATAAAAACAGACCATAGAGCCAATTTGGTCTAAAGGCTGTAGCTTGTAAACCCTGATCTAATAAAAAAAAAAACAGAAATTTCATTCATATATGACAAACACAGGAAGATGCCTACAAAAATCTGCTTCTGGATTCTGGAAATTGGATCATATATATATATATATATATAATTTCAAATATTTGCATTCTAAGGTCTATTTTTTTAAAAATTCACGAGAGGGAGGGAGGGCAGCGAAGAGAGGAAAGACAAAGAGAGAGAGACTGATTCTATCTGTTGGCTGGTTCACTCCCCAGATGCCTGCAAGGGCTGGGCTGGACTGAAGACGGAGTTGGGGATTCAACCCAGGAGCTCCTATGTGGGTGGCAGGTACCTGATCACTTGAGTCATCGCAACTGCTTCCCAGATTCTGTTAGCAAGAAGGGAGTCAAGAGCTGGAGCTGGGGCAGGAGCAGGCACTGCTGTGTTGTAGAGTCCTGCCTTCCAGTGCCAGCATCCCATATGGGCTCTGTTCTGAGTCCTGGCTGCTCCACTTCTGATCCAGCTCCCTATTATTGTGCCTGGGGAAGTAGCGGAGGATGGCCCAAGTGCTTGGGCCCTCACATCCATGTGGGAGACCTAGGATGAAGTTCCTGGCTCCTGGCTGTTGCAGCCACTTGGGGAATAACCCCATAAATGAAGATTTCTGCCTCTCCCTCTCTCTCTGAATGTCTGCCTTTCAAATAAATAAATAAATAAATCATATATAAAAAAAGAGAGAGAGATGGTGCTGGGAATTGAGTGTCTTAACTGCTAGCTAAACACCAGTCCTTCTGAAGTCTTTTTGAATTCTAAATTTCTATGATCATCTTCAAACCCACTGTACCTAGTCTACAGCCCTCCTGGTAATGCTCCAAAACTCTAAACTCACCACTCAGAGACAGTTTTGATAACAAGTTCTCCCTGCCATACAATGAATTTTTACTTTCTTTTTTTTTTTTTTCTTCTCTTTATAATCAGGTTCAGGTTGTTAACTGAGTTAGCATATTCTTTCTTGATTTCTGAACTACTTCATGAATCTCGCAACTGGTCTATTTCCTACAAACCACCCAACATAATGCGTTTCTATCAGTCTTCCCAACACTAGGCACAGAGAAATCTGCTCCAAAGCCTACATTGATTACCAAATGTTTTTAAAATGAACTTAAAAGACTACAATTTTAGCCTGATTTTTTTTTTTTTTTTGACAGGCAGAGTGGACAGTGAGAGAGAGACAGAGAGAAAGGTCTTCCTTTTGCCGTTGGTTCACCCTCCAATGGCTGCCACGGCTGGCGCGCTGTGGCCGGCACACCGTGCTGATCCGAAAGCAGGAGCCAGGTGCCTCTCCCAGTCTCCCATGGGGTGCAGGGCCCAAGCACTTGGGCCATCCTCCATTGTACTCCCGGGCCACAGCAGAGAGCTGGCCTGGAAGAGGAGCAACCGGGACAGAATCCAGTGCCCCGACGGGGACTAGAACCCGGTGTGCCGGTGCCGCTAGGTGGAGGATTAGCCTAGTGAGCCGCGGCGCCGGCCTTAGCCTGATTTTCAAGAAGCTTCAGTGTATGGTCAACACACATCTTCTACAACCCCATCTACTCTTATCAAGTGAATTTTATACACTGCTATGAGGAACACTGGTTATTCCTATGTCTCTTCCTCTGATTACCATGTCCCTCTTGACTGTTTCTCCATGTCAAGATGATCTTGCATTCCTTCTCCTCCAATAAGCCTTCCTGACTGATATAATCCCTAGTGATATTTCCACTTTGGTCTTTAAAATTTTATTAATTTTAATAAAAAGTTTATTGATAAAAGTTTAAAGTCACATATATTAATAAAAGTTTAAACAGTCACCCACATTTGACTAGTACATTTTCTTACCCAGGTAGTCACAAACCTTGAGGATAAGAAAAAATGTTTTTGGGTTTAGCAAAAATATCTTATACCTTTTGACATTCCATTAAAACTTGTTAATGACAATTAAACAGCCCAGTATCAAACATCCATTTTAATAATGTTTCAAAAACACAACAGAAAGAATTATATATTTCTTAGTAAAATATATCCCGAACAAGAATGCCACTTACTTTCACCAATATATCTTTTACAACTTGATTGCTATCATTGTGAACGCTGATATAACTGGAAAAGGTCTCTCCCAGGAATATATTCCTGTGAAATAAAATAAAATGCAGACATACATTCAGGTGTTATAAATACTCTGTTTCAGTATGACTAAAAACTTCAAATGCAGAAAACTTTAGGGAAAGATAGAGATTGGGTGAAATACCACTTCAACATCCCTTTATTTACACTAGGCTGCTCACTCAGTGCCTAGCATAGTCCAAAATACAAATGTAAATATGGGAATAATTAGAGAGGAGAGATCCAAGATGGTGGAATAGGGAAGGAGCTTACTGCTCTAGTCTAGGGGAAGACAGCTTACAAAAAGGGGAGAGAGTACAGTCTTAGGGCAGAGTTGGGGAGAAAATGGCGGAGGAAATTCCAGGCAAATTAGAGGGACACTGGGGACCCACACGGAGGGTGTGGACACGTGCAGCAGAGAGCCTCTGCGCCAGCTTTGGCGAGTGAGGAGAGATGCGCCTGGAGCAGTCCAAGCCACTGGCAATACAGCTGTGGGAAGAGCCTAGCTCAAGTGTGGCTTCGAGCCCTGTTGGGTACAGTGTACCTGCCAACCTAGAGGAGAAAAAAAGGGGGAACACTTCTGTCTCCCCGACCACACTGCACTGACATTCTGTAATAAGCCGAGAGAGGACGAGCCATTTTGGACATACGTAATAGCTGTGCCCAGCAACCAACCGAGTGGAGATGCCTGAGTCTGGCTGGGAGAACAGACAGGGGGCTGGGTGCTGGTGACTGTGGGAGCCTTGTGTGTCAAGACTATGAAAACACTGTGGCTGTTTCGGAGGGTGCATGGTGTGTCTGGGACTTTGGGCAGTTGCTGTGGGCAGCACCACATGCTCTGGGCTGCCTGATTCCCTGGTGAGGGTCATTGATACAGGATCTGTGCTTTTATTTTATTTATTTGAAAGGCAGAGTTACAGAGAGAGGTAGAGAGAGAGAGAGAGGTTTTCTATCCACTGGTTCACTCCCCAGATGGCCGCAATGGCCGGAGCTGCAACGATCTGAAACCAGGAGCCAGGAGCTTCCTCCAGGTCTACCTGGATGCAGGGGCCCAAAGATTTGGGCCATCTTCTACTGCTTTCCCAGGCCACAGCAGAGAGCTGGATTGGAAGAGGAGCAGCCGGGACTAGAACCCGCGCCCATATGGGATGCTGGCGCTTCAGGTCAGGGCGTTAACCCACTGCGCCAGAGCGCCGGCCCTAGGATCTGTGTTTATACTGAGGACTACACAGATCCTTTGTGTGGCATTGTGGCATAACAGGTAAAGCTGCGCCTGTGATGCGGGCATCCTATATGGCTGTTGGTTGGTGTTTGGCTGCTACACTTCCAATCCAGCAGCCTGCTAATGGCTTACAAAAAGCAGTGGAAGATGGTACGAGTACATGGGCCCCTCCCACCCATGTGGAAAACCCAAATGAAGATCATGGCGCCTGGCTTCAGGCTGACCCAGTCTAGGCTACTGCGAGCATCTGGGGAGTAAATCAGCAGATGGGGGATCTGTCTCTCCCTCTCTCACAGTACCTTTCAAATAAATAAATAAATCTTTTTTAAAAGTCTAAAAAATGAGATAATACCTAAGAACAAGAGAAGAAACAAAAAATTTAGAATTCCTAATTAGCTGACAAGTCTAATAACTTATGCTGGGAGAGGACTGTAAGGCTAAACGAAAGACATTTATATTATATTATATTAGTTTAAATAAAAATACATGGCCACTAAAAATAAATGTAAGCAACTCTAAATAATAATAATATATAAAAATAAATATAATTGAATCTAAAAGAAGAAAATCAAAACAAGGAAATAGGAATTACTATTAACACTTTATTATGGAATATATAATTTCATTTTTAAATAAAAACCAGAGCCACACAGTATAATTTGTACAACTTTTTATCACCTATATCTATCACAAGCATGTTCCGATTCCATGGTTAGTTTCTGAACAAATGGATCTGCAACAGTTTATGGCACTGTCGCATTTCACAACTGTGTTAAGAGGTAAGTTCAGAGTAACTGGTACCTATATTAAGAAATTAGAAAGGCATAAAATAAATGAGCTATCAATGACCTAGAAAAACAATAAACCAAATCCAAAATTAGTAGAAGAAAAATTAAAATTAGGGAAGAAATAAACAAAATTGAAACCATAAAAAATTATACAAAAGATCAGTGATACGAAGAGCTGGTTTTTTGAAAGAAAGAATAAACACATACGATATGCTAACATTGAATCAAGAAGACACAGGAAACCTAAATAGATCAATAACCAAGATGGAGATTAAATCAGTAATAAAGTAAGTCCCTCCCAACAAAGAAAAGCCTGGCACCAGATGGCTTCACTGCTGAATTCTACCAGACTTTTAAAGAAGAATTAATTCCAATTCCTCTCAAGCTATTCAAAACAATTAAAAGGGAGGGAATCCTCCCAAACTCCTTTTATGAGGCCAGCAACACTTTACTTCCTACACAGAAAAAGATACAACAGAGAAAGAGAACTATAGACCAACATCCCTCATGAATGTAGGTGCAAAAATTCTCAACAAAATTTTAGCTGATAGAGTCCAACAACACAACATATCAGAAAGATCATTCAACTGGACCAAGTGGGAGCTATTCCTGGTATGCAGAGAGGGTTCAACACTTGCAAATCAATAAATGTGATACATCACATTAGAACAAAAACCTGAAGAACAAAAACCATATGATTATCTCAGTAGATACAGAGAAAGCATTTGATAAATTCATAATACTTTCATGATGAAAACCTTAAGCAAATTGGGTACAGAAGGAACATTCCTCAACACAATCAAGGCAATTTATGACAAACCCACAGCCAGCATCTTATTGAATGGGGAAAAGTTGGAAGCATTCCCACTGAGATCCAGAACCAGACAAGAACCATTTATATTCAATCCAGTCCTGGAAGTTTTAGCCAGAGGGCATCAGGTGAGAAATAGAAATCAAAGGGATATAAATTGGAAAGGAGGAAGTCAAATTATCCCTATTTGTAGATGACATGATTCTATTTATATAGGAGATCCAAAAGACTCCACTCAGAGACTATTGGAAGTCCTAAAAGATCTAGTAAAGCAGTAGGATATAAAATTAACACACAAAAATCAATAGTCTTTGTATATACAAATTCCAAGGAAGAGAAAGAAATTCTAAGATCAATCTCATTCACAATAGCTACAGAAAAAATTAAATACCATGGAATATATTTAACCAAGAAGGTGAAAGATCTCCACAATGAAAATGACAAAATATTTAAAAAGAAAGAGGAAGACATACACAAAAAAGGAAAAAATCTTCCATGTTCATGAATTGCAAGAATTAATATCATCAAAATGTCCATACTACTGAAAGCAATTTACAGGTTCAATGCAATCCCAATCAAAATACCAACAATATTCTTCTCAGATTTAGAAAAAACAATGCTAAAATTCATAGAGAAACACAAGAGACCTCAAAGAGCCAAAACAATCTTATACAACAAAAGCAAAGCCTGAGACAGACAACACAATACTAGATGTCAAGACACACTACAGGGGAATTACATTCAAACAGCCTGGTACTGGCACAAAAATAGACATGCAGATGAATGGAACAGAGTAGATTCTCCAGAAATCAATCCACATATCTACAAACAACTAATCTTTGTCAAAGGAAGTAAAATCAATCCCTAGAGAAAGGGTAGTCTCTTCAACAAATGGTGCTGAGAAAATTGGATTTCCACATACAGAAGTATGAAAAAGCAACCCTACCTTATATATCAAAAAAAAAAAAAACCCAACTCAAAATGGATCAAGGCCAGCTCCTTGCTTATGTGTCTGGGAAAACAGCAGAAGATGGCTCAAGTACTGAGACCTGGAAGAAACTCCTGGCTCCTTGCTGATGTGGCCATTTAGGAGGATGAACTAGCAGATGGAAGATCTCTCTCTCTCTGTAACTCTGCCTTTCAAATAAATAAATAAATCTTTAAAAAAATGGAGCAAGGATCTAAATCTAGGACCATATATCATCAAATTTCTAGAGGAGAACATTGGGGAAATGCTGTAATACACTGGCATAGGCAAAGAGTTCTTGGAAAAGATCCCATAAACACAGCCAATCAAAGCCAAAGTAGATAAATGGGATTACATAAAGATGAGAAGTTTCTGACTGCACAGGAAACACTCAGCAAGGTGAAGAGGAAACTTAAAAAATGGGAGAAATTTTTTGCAAACTATGCAACTGCTAAAGGATTAATATCCAGAATCTACAAAGAGCTCAAGAAACTCAACAACAACAAAACAAACAATCCAGTTAAGAAATGGGCAAAGGATTTGAAAAGCATTTTTCAAAAGAGGAAATTCAAATGGCCAAGAGACACATGAAAAAATGTTCAAGATCACTAGCTATCAAGGAAATGCAAATCTAAACCAGAGTGAGGTTTCACCTCATCCCACTAAGAATGGCTCTCAAAGAAAAATCCATAAACAATAAATTCTGGTGAGGATGTGGGGAAAAGGTAGCCTAATACACTGTTAGTGGGAATGTAAATTGGTGCAGCCATGGTGGAAGACAGTATGGAGATATCTCAGAAAGCTGAAATAGATTTACCATATGACCCAGCTATCCCACTCCCCAGAATTTACCCAAGGGAAATGAAATTAGCATATGAAAGAATAATCTGCACTCCCATGTTTATTGCAGCTCAATTCATAACAACTAAGATATGGAATCAACCCAAATGTCCATCAAGTGATGACTGGATAAAGAAATTATGGTATATATATAATATGGAATACCACTCAGCCATAAAACAGAATGAAATCCTGTCTTTTGCAACAAAATAGACACAACTGCAAATCATTATTCTTAGTGAAATAAGCCAGTCCCAAAACAACAAATACCATTTGTTTTCTCTGATCTGTGCTAACTAATAGAGACCAAAATGTAATGTATAGGAATGAAATCGACATTTTGAGCTTCCATGATTGTTTACAGTCCCTGTCTTTACTGTTGAGGAACAGTGTCATTTTCTTCTTACTATCTGCTGAACTCTTAGTGTAGGGTTCATCTTATGAGTATAAAGTAGACTGAAAGTACATCATTGTAAAAATTAAGAGAGAGAATAGGAGAGGAAGGAGGAGGAAGGGTGAGAGTGTGGCTGGGAGGAAGGGTAGGGGGGAAGTATCACTATGTTCCTAAATCTGTATACATGAAATTTGTATACTTTAAATAAAATTTTAAAAAAAGGAAAAGAAAAGTATTGTTGCATTTCCTATGTGTATATATCATTCTTACCCGAAATTTTGTGGTAAAGTCAACATTTCTCCCAACATCAAAATTTCTGCACCATTTACAGTTGAAGGATCATCTCTCATTAGTTGGTTAAAGAGATCTCCTGCAGCAACAGAAAAACATGAAATTCTAATAAGTTTTGCTTACATAAATATTTGGCAGAGATACATTAAAAGTTTATTTCTTGACAAAAGCTATATCTTAAAAAGCCTAATTTCTAATCTTTAATACAACAAAGGCAAGTAAAAAATCTGGCCACACAGAGAACAAACACTTTAGAAACAAACGAAAATGCAGGTCATGATATAAAAAGTACAAAGCATCAATACTTCTCAATAAAAGGAATACTAGTACATACACTGATGTACCAATTGAGGATAAAGGCAATTTTAATAGTTTCATGAATATGAACATATCCTTCCTTAAACTAAACTGTCATGTTGACAGATATTAATAGTACTGTGACATGTAGATTAAAAGGAAAGCCTATTACTCAGCTAGCCACCATTCACATGGTACAAAACCAGGCAATAAGGAATCCAACACAGGGCTAGTGTTGGCAGAAGACTGGTAAGGCTAGGCTTAATTCCAAGACAACAGAGGCAACTCAATGTCTCCTTAAGGTTATTATAGAGTAAAGCAGATATCATACATACCAGGTAAGTCTTTCTCTTCACATGTTACTGGAATATTGGTGAATAAAGTAGGCTTAGTCAATCGCATCACTGTGAATTAAGAAAGTAAACAAACATTTAATATTTCTTTGGGGTAATATTTTCAAACGTATGGTATTCAATCTTATACTAACACAAACTATAACCTAGATATTCCCTAAATATAACATTAAATATTTCCTAAGATTATCACATCAATGATTTACTAAAAATCACACTATGTGACACAAAGAATTTTGAGAAAAATATTTTATTTCTAATCTATAAATTATAAAAATGTAAATATATTTTCATTATTGGAAAATAATTTTAAAGCTAATGGTTTATTATGAACACACAGCTTAAAAAAATCTTGCGCGACTTCACTGTATACAATGTCAACAAAATATTAGCTTATATTCACCTACCATTTTCAATATGAAACAATAATTTTATGGCAAAAAGATCTTTGTGCCCTCTGTCTCTCAATTATAATATAAGTCTCTCAATTATATATGTAAGTATCAGAAGTTCAATAAATGTTTCTTTAAATAATATCAATTCTGCATAAAATTATGAAAATATCTGTTAATGTATAAGTCTATATAATTCCTACCAAATCTAAGATTTCTTTTTGGGGCCAGCGCCATGGTTCACTTGGCTAATCCTCCGCCTGTGGCGCCGGCACCCCGGGTTCTAGTCTCAGTTGCTCCTCTTCTAGTCCAGCTCTCTGCTGTGGCCCGGGAGGGCAGTGGAGGATGGCCCAAGTGCTTGGGTCGCTGCACCCGCATGGGAGACCAGGAGGAAGCACCCGGCTCCTGGCTTTGGATCGGTGCAGTGGCAGCCATAGTGGCCATTAGGGGAGTGAACCAACGGAAGGAAGACCTTTCTCTCTGTCTCTCTCTCACTGACTATAACTCTCTCTCTGTCTCTCTCTCTCACTGTCTAACTCTGCCTCTCAAAAAAAAAATTTCTTTTTGGGATAAGACAGAATGTTTCTAAAATTTATCTAGGAAAACAAATAAATGAAAATAACTTAAGGAAACTAGATGAGAAAAAAATTAAGAACAGGTCATACTATACTTAAAAATATATTTCGGTCCATATTAAATTAACTGGCTTATTAACATGAGACCATTCAGCTATATTAGATACTTAAAAAAATTATTAGGATGTAGGGGAAAAAAAATCAACCAAAAAGGAAAAGGATTATTCATTATTATGCAATAAGATAACTATTAAGCTACCTAGAAAAAAATAAAATTTAATTTACACATTCATCTCAGGTGTCAAGTAAATTGCATACGTCCAAATAGGTACACAGAAAAAAATCTAAGTCATTGACAGATAGAAAAAGTGAATATTTATTCAATGTAGTTTCAGCAATAGAATATTTTGATTTATAAAAATTTAAAATAACATCTGAAGACTGTCATTTGACCATATTTAAAAAAAAAAGACAACATAAAATTTAAACTAGAGGCAACCATTTAGCCTAGCATTTAAGATACTCATGTCCTACATCAAAACGCCTGGCTTGATAACCTACTCTGGCTCCTGACTCCAGCTTCCTGCTAATGCTGATCCTGGGAGGCAGCTGTGGTGGCTCAAGTAAGTTGGGTTCCTGCCACCCAAGTTGGAGACTCAGATTGAACTCCTGGCTGTTGGCTTCAGCCTGGCCCACTCCTGACTGTTGCAGGCGTTTGGGGAGTGAACCAGCAAATGGAAGCTGTCTTTGCCTTTCAAATAAATAAGAAATAAAAATAAAATCTTCAAAAATTTAGTGACTTTTTCATCTTAATCTCAGCTTAAATGTCATAATTTAAAAAAAAAAAAACAAAAAACTCAGGCTGTTATTCTTATATATAGTATCTTATATTTACCATAAACAATATTTATTTCCTTTTTTGTTTCTAGCACTTCTTTCCCAACTCCATGAGGTCTAGGCTCTTACATACCATGTTCAGTTCTGAAACTGCCATATTTGATATTGGTTCTGGCACAGTGAGGGCAAATACTCTCATTTAGCAAAGTTCTACAGAATCTAAATGAAAGGATTCACATTTCACTGAAGTCTCCAGGTAATGGGCTTTATCTTGAAAGTGTAAGTTTCATGAACTGAAGCTATTAAACAACCTGGTATATTGAGTAGTTGGCTTTTGAAACAGTCAACAAATACTTACTTTAAATTTCTTAAGTCACTTTGTATAGCTAGCATTTACTGAGTATTTATTAGTGCCAGGCATTATGTGAAACACAAGTAATAATCCATTTAATTCTCCTGAATGCACTACAAGGTTGGTATTAATATTCCCATTATACAGATACGGCAATGACAATATCTAGAAAGGGTAGTTTGCAAACAAAGTATTATATAGCAGGTAAGTCGCAAAACCTAGATTTGAACTCAGATGCGTTTGCTCTGTTCTAAAATAATGCTTTATAATTATTAACTATAAGTGTAAGAGCACAAACCTGGAATGTCACACTTCATCTGAAACATCCTAGGGGAATGAGAAGTAGGAATGTATCTGTACAGTATTTTTTAAAATTTATTTTCTATTTACTTGAAAGGCAGAGTTACAGAGAGAAGATGAGAGAGAGAGAGAGAGAGAGAGAGAAATCTTCCATCTGCTTGTTCATTCCCCAAATGGTCACAACCGCCAGGGGTGGGCCAGGTAGAAGAGAGGAGCCTGGAGCAAATTCTTCCAGATCTCCTACAAGGGTGCAGAAGCCTAAGGACTTGCGCCATCTTCCACTGCTTTCCCAGGTACATTAGCAGGGAGCTGGATTGGAAGTGGAGCAGCTTCAACCTGAAATGGCACCCATATGGGATGCTGGTGCTGCAGGTGGAGGCTTAACCTATTATGCCACAACACTGGCCCCCAAACAGAGTATTAACTAGTACAGAAGGAGACAGAGATCTTCCATCAGCTTGTTTACTACCCAAATGGCCACAATGACCAGGACTGTACCAGGCTGAAGCCAAGAGGCAGGAACTTCATCCTGGTCTCATACACGGGTGGCAAGGGCCCAAACATTTGGGCCATCTGCTGCCTTCCAGGTGCATTAGCAGGGAAATGGATTGGAAGCAGAGCAGCTAGGAGCTGAACCTATGGGATTCTGGTGCCACAAGCAGCAGCTCAACACACAGCACAGTGCTGGTCCCTTTCACTTTTAACTAGGAAAAGATAACCATTAAACAGAATATGAAGATCATAAAATGGTGCCTTCAAAGTAATACACAGGATGCAATGTAAATATCTAGGATTCTAAGCTCACTTTGAATACCATTTGGTGTTCTCTATTTCTTTCCCACTAATTATTTTTATTTCATAAGAAACGAAATCTTACACAAGGAAGTTAACACACTCTCAAAGGGATCCTAGAATTCATTCAGGGCTGAATTCATTCAGGGCTGGCGTTGTGGCCCAGTGGGTAAAGCTGCCACCTGCAGCACTGGCATCCCATATGAGTGCCTATTTGAGTCCCAGCTGCTCCACTTCTCATTTAGTTCCCTGCTAATATGCCCAGGAAAGCAACAGAAGATGGACTAACTACTTGGGCCCCTGTACCCACATGGGAGACCTGGAGGAAGCTCCTAGTTCCTGGCTTTAGTTGGCCCAGCCCTGATGTGGTTATTCAGGGATAAATCAGTGAATGGAAGATTCTCTCTCTCCCTCTCTGTGTGTAACTCTGACTTTCAGGGGCCGGTGCCCTTTCATCAGGTTAAGCTGCCACCTGCAGTGCCAGCATCCCATATGGGAGCCGGTTTGAGTCCCGGCTGCTCCACTTCCAATCCAGCTCTCTGCTATGCAGCTGCATGGGAGACCAGATGAAGCTCCTGGCTCCTGGCTTTGGATTGGCCCAGCTCTAACTGTTGCGGCCACTTGGGGAGTGAACCAGTGGACGGAGGTTCTCTCTGTCTCTCCGCCTCTGCCTCTCTGTACCTCTGCTTTTCAAATTAATAAATCGGAAAAAAAAAAACCTCTTTCAAATAAATTTTTAAAGTGAACTCAATGTGTAACTTATTTGCTTACTGTGAGATCCATAAATCCTGTAGTTCTTCCTGATTCTTGTGATTTAATAGACAGTGGATAGGGAACAATTCCCCATTTAAAATAAAAATATGGGGCAGGCATCCACTGTTGTAGGGCCTGAGTTTGAGTCTTGGCACTTTGCTTCTGATTTCAATTTCCTGCTAATGTGTGCCTTGTGGGGGTAGGGGAGCAGCAGGTGATGGCTCAAGCATTGGGTCCTACCACCCCTGTGGGAGACCTGGATTGTGTTCTCAGCTCCTGGTTTAGGTGTTGTGGGCATTTGGGGAGGGAACTAGCAGATAGAAGACATTCTCTCTCTCTAGCTCACTCTCCCTGCATTTCAAATCAAATTAAAAATAAAAAATTATAAAAAAATATGCTAAATTGGTATTAAAAGCACCAATTTTCTTTGACTTTTCAAAAACAAAAGGAAAGAAATCAACAGAAGGCTAAGCAGTTGGTATCATGTTGGGGATTTAAAGAAAATTACTATAAACCACAATTCATCATATTGCAGATTTTTAAACCACAAACACAAACAAGTTAGTGACATTATCACTCTAGAGTACAATTATTTCTTGAACTTTTAAACCCATTAAGGTTTCACTGTACATGTCTAAAAGACAATCCAAAATATGCTGCTATTAACACATTTAAAATTCAGTATTTCCTATTTACAATGAATGAATGGATCTCAAGAATTAAAAATATTAGCCGGAAAAGAGAAAATACTGTCCATTAAAAACAAAGTTAAAGGATGACAGAAGAGGGGCTATCGCTGTGGCGAAGCTGGTTAACACCCTGGCCTGAAGCACCAGCATCCCGGTTCGAGACCGGCTGTTCCACTTCCGATCCAGCTCTCTGCTATGGCCTGGGAAAGCAGTAGAAGATGGCCCATGTCCTTGGGCCGCTGCACCTGAGTGGGAGACATGGAGGAAGCTCCTGGATCCTGGATCCTGGATCCTGGCTTTGGATTGGTGCAGCTCTGGCAGTTGTGGCCATCTGGGGAGTGAACCTTCTCATGGAAGACCT